TCTGCTGGATTCACCCATCCCAGCAGTGGCCTTCAGCGACCAGATCCTTGCCCTGTCTACTTCGGACATGCCAGCAAAATTGCCGAAGTAGGCTGCAGCTCCTTCTCGGTTTTGACCCCATATGAGGTCCCAGATGTGATCTGGGATTGGAATTCGGGGGGCCGAGAAACCCATTTCTCCAGAATGCAGAGTCTGGAAAGAAGGGAAGGACGACAATGGAGCTTGATTAGCTTTGGTTGTCTCAGCATCGTCCTTCTCAGAGGAGTCAACTACTATGACCTCCTCTTCTTCAGGGGTGAGGACGAAAGCCTCAACCTCTCTTGCGATATCTGCCGTGAAGCCCTCAGCACTGGACATCACGGCATCTTTATTTTCGTGCTCAGCAGCACTCTTCTTGATTTCTTCTTGGACCCCTCCCTTAGGTTCGGGAGTTCTCTGATCCACCTCCATCTCAGGAGGTGGCGGAGGGGTCTTTTGAGGAGATTGGGGTGTTGGCTGGGGAACCCTCGGCGATCCATTGCCTTCCTCAGGTTCCCTTATTGCGACGCCGATGGTCATCGGCCTCTGCTGAAAGTCATGAGGGCCGATGATGGCCATCCTTCGGCGCCTTTTCAGAAGGGGCTGCTCGTCCATATCTGAGTCTGAAGACTCTTGTATTTGATCTTCGGGACGAACAGGAGCTTTGCCTTCTCTGTGTCTGTTACTCTCTTCAGACTGTAACAGACAGGGGGGAAGAAGAGTGTGAGTAAAAAAAAAAAAAAAAAAAAAAGAAAAGAAAAGTTGTCTGAAAGCTCACCGAGGTTTTCAGCAAAGCCTCGTCTTCTTCAGCTGCTCTAGCTGCAGCTTCGGCCTCAGCAGTTTGGAGGACCCTTCTCCTCCTTCGCAAGCCTCAAGTACCCGTGCAACCTCTTCGGCTGTGCGGGCAGCTTCAGCTTCTTCGTTCAGCAGCTGAAACCAAGGGTCTCTCTTCTTCCACCAAGGCTTCTGCCTCTGATACAGAGCAACAGCCTCAATTTGGAAGTGGGAAGAATCCAGATGAACTTCCCTATGCCTCGGCTCAGTAATAGACGGGGCCCGTTCAGTTACAACTCGCTCTCGGTTAACACCAAGACGAGCGTAGTTAATACCAACGTTGGTCTCGTCCCGCTCTGAAAAAAGGAAAGGGAAAAAGTTTAGCTCAGATATGTTGGCACAGCATAAAAAAGCAAAGCGAGAGAAGAAAAAGAGGTAGTTTAAAAGCCTCGGCCCCAGCCGAAGAAGCTTACCATCCTTAAACTTTCGGCTGAGGCCAACAGCTGCTAGCATATTCTCTTGGAAAACGTAATGCGTATCGGGGAGCCAAGTCTCCGGGATATGCTGCATTCGACCACTGCCCCCCGGGTTCGGCAGCTTGCCGAAGATATGTTGCTGATCCAGGTTCGGATCCGCCCCGTTATCTGCGGGGGGACCTAGACTTCCCATTTCGGGATCAGGCTCAGCTAAGTACCGGGGAGCGCTGAAGACGCAAGGGTGGCCCGGATCTGTGGGTGCCCTAACCCAAATCCATTGACCTCTCCAGTCCTTGTCTGAAGAGTCATTTGGCCACATGGTCAAGTATTGGGGCCGGGACTCAATCCGATACCACCCAGAACCATGGCTTCCGTGCCCACTCTGAATATTTGGCACTAGCCGATGGAGCTTTCTGAAGCAGTGCAGGTTCGGCACGTATTTGAAGAACTTGCAGACCCATAAGTATGTCATCACCCTTCGGATGCTGGTGGGGGTTAGCTGACATAGGGAAATGTTGTAATGGATCAGCAAGTCTCGGACGAAAACGTCCAAAGGGAACCTCAGCCCATACTGAAGCTGTCTCGTGTACACCCCCACATACCCCGGGGGTGGACGATGGATTCTATCGGATGCTGAGGGCATTCGGCACCAATATCCATCAGCTTCAAAAATGCCGTAGTGCAACTCAATTTGCTCAGCAAATCGATATTGATCGGCGTTCTCTACCCACCATGAGTAGGGGCGGTTCTTTATCATGGCCGAAGCGACTTCGGCATTCTCCCACTCTGAAAACCCAGGGAGGATATCCCAAAGGACAGCGGGAATTTCATCGTCCCGTCCAGAGGCACTCGGCTCATCCGTTCTTTGAGGAGGAGCCGAGGAAAGGGGAGTCGCCCTAATCCCTTCAGCAGGGTCAGACTCCGGCCTTTGACCATTCCAGGTCCCAATCCTATTCCTAGGATCGGGAATCGGCCTTGCTCTTCTTGGAGCACGGGCTCTACCTCTAACTCCTCTTGCCATGGATTATTTCGAAGAGAAAAGTCGAAAGAAAAGGGGAAGGAGTTCGAATTCGAAGAAAAATAAACTGAAATCAAAGGAATTTACCTTAATCTGAAGCGAAAGTTGCCGATTTACGAGTTCGTAGTGGCAAGTCTCAGTTTCTAAGCTCAATGCTCGGGGAATTTGCGAAGTTTTGATGCGGGTTCTTGGTTTCTCTCTCGAAGAATTCTGGGTTTGTATTGGTGAATAAGTGAGGAGAATGACGCGCCTCTGTTTATATCTCCAGGTACGGGATACGAAGAGTCTGTGCTTTAATTTCTCTTAAATACCCACTAAGTAGCCATTAAACACATGTCTTGTGATTAAACTGCCCATTATCCGTCCAACTTTCGCAAATCATTAACCGTTGTTATCTCATTAATTACGGTTTAAATTCAAATTTTTGGATCAATTAAATCATTTACTTCCCTCCTTTTCTGAATTAAATCAAACCCGACCCGTCATCCTTCCAAATCGGGTCTGGGGGGCAAGTTGTTTGGGTCCAATTTAGTCAAAATTGGGCCTAAGCACTAAATGATCCAATTAAAAGCCCAAGGTCAAGGTTCAACTCTCCAATTGCTCAAGAGTCAAAGGTCAGCCCACAAAGTAAGCCAATTGGGCTAAAGCCCAACCTCTCCATGTATGATGAGGTATAAAAGCCATCATATTGACACATACATTCGTATTCCAATTCGTATGCTCATTCTTGCATTCAGAAATATTCCACAAAAGCCTCAAGCTACAAACTCTCTTGCATAGTGTCTTCCTTTTACACATTGTACTGACTTTAGCATCGGAGGGGCCTTCCTCGGAAACACCCCCGAGGCTAGTTTACGTGTGTTCACTGTGCAGGAAACCTTCGGCCCAACACAACTTGGACCGAATCCAGCCTTCTCCACTTCAGCGGACCTTCGGCAAGGTCCCATTGTTTTCAACCGAAACATTTGGTATTTCGCATGTCATGGAAGAAGAAATTGGATCTGATTTTTATACTTCGTATTATTTAGCTTAATTAGGGAAGAATATTGTAGAAAATCAAATTGATGCATGGTTTTACGCGCAACTTGCTATTTAGAGCAGAATTAGAACCTTGCTTAGTCATAAAGGGGGGAGACAACTAAACATTCAATTTCTTTTGGGGGAACTAACAGTATTAAACTCAGTTATCTCAGAGAGAGGACATTGAGAAGATTATCCTGATGTTGTTTTACAAGTGCTTAATTTCAGCGTAATATAGGTGAAAGCCTATTGGAAGTTTTTCTCCGTGGATATTGGAATCAGGGTGTTTGTTCTCGTCTCTGTAAAAGATTCCTATTTTGTAGAAACTAAGTTAATGTTGAGATGTTCTCCTTAAATGGCAAGTCGTACTCTACAGATTTGGATTAATTAATAATTTGATTTGATTAAATACCTTTAATATTATGTATATTATCTTGAGTCTTCGAGTCTGTGCCTTTTAACTTAGGTCTTTTATGGTACTGGCATGGTTTTTGCTTTGTTGTTATGGATTCCTTGCCTAGCCTGATGAGGGTTATGTATTTATTTATTTTAAATTTTAAATGGTCTTTCTTATGAACAAGGCCAGTTCTTCAAGACTAATCTCTATAACCTTAGCCGGTATTATATCCTCTTTTTCTTTGTCAAATGTAGTAGGGTTACTGATAGAGGTGTGTGAAACAGTGAATAATCTGATTTTCGAGCACAGATTTTTTATTTGTTGCTGGCAGGGATGGCAAGAAGCTAATTGGTGGATTTTAGGATGATGAGGACTTAATGTGAAGTTTGCATGTTTATACTGTTAAAGTTAGTGTTGTAGTGATGTGGTTGGATGATGATAGCAGCCAGTGGTTTGACCATGGTATATCCGAAGGCCAGTTTATAGTTAGTTTTTTTTTTTTTTTTTTTTTTTTTTTTTTTTTTTTTTTTTTGTTATTTTGGGAGGGGATGAACAGGACACATCAAAAGTGGATGCTTTCCCAAACTTTGGGCCGACTTTTGAAAATTCTAATTCTGTTTCATCTGTTTGTTCTTTGTGGTTTCTGAAGTTATTTTTAAGCTGAATTACACAAAAACCCAGCATACAGTTTGTTTATGAAGTCAGATTTTTCCCCTTGGGTGTACACTTTTGAGCTTCTTTAGGCATGGCACATGTGATGATGTGAATGAGTTCTTGATTTGTTTGTCTTTTGATGAATTTAGGAAGTATTGAAAACAGAACAGTCTTTGTGGACATATATGCTGCCGTCCAAATCTTAGGTCAGAGGCTTGACTGTAGATAGTATGGTTTGTCCCTAAGTTTAATTTATTAAGGTACACACTTTACATCAAGATAGGCGTATATTTCATTCGAGGGGATTGGACTTCTTCCATTGGCTGTAAACTTTCAAACATCACTTTGGGTTACTTGTGCCTTCATGAGCTTGTAATCTCTCCTTTGACGCGGTGTTTAAAAATTTCGGAAAAAATGTCCTAGTGATTTATGTTAATGACGCATTAAGGACTAATGGGGTCAAAGTATGCAAGGTGATGTGAGCTATAAATCTCCTTTAGAAGTAGTCTTTGATTTGAGGATGTCATGAATTGCAGAGCAGATATACTGAGAAGGATGTACTTCATATTATCATGGGAGGAATATTTGAGTTGCGTTGAACGAGTGGGAGTACTTCATTGATTTATATCTATATCATGTGCAGGTAATGGACAAGCACTTGAGTATTTTAGCAAAGCAGCATATTGAGACACGCTTTGTAAAAATTCAGGCTGAGAAAAGTCCATTCTTAGCTGAAAAGCTGAAGATTGTTGTCCTTCCAACCCTTGCTATTATAAAGAATGCAAAAGTTGAAAATTATATGGTATTTATCTGAACTCTACCATCCCTTGCCACAACAAACTCTTTCAAAGTATTAATTTTTGTTTATTTTTAGGTTGGTTTTGACGAGCTTGGTGGGAAAGATGATTTTAGCACAGACGAATTGGAGGAGAGATTGGCTAAATATCAGATTATCATCTTTGAGGGTGAATCATCAGTAAAGTCTTCCCGATCCCTGGGACATACCAGAAGTGTGCGACAAAGTGAAACCCATGATTCATCAGATTCTGACTAGAAATATCTGAGCTGCAAGCACTTTGGAGGCCTAGGTCACTTAGTTTGTCTTCTTGATTTCATGGCCAATTTGGATTTGATATGAATGCAGGGAAGAGAAAGGGGAAAGCAGAGCAGCTTGGGATGAGGAAGGGGAAAGAGGCTCCATTTTTTGGGGTGTAGTTCTTTTAGATTTGGTCGTGATCAAGTGGAGTTTAGATTATATATTGCTCTTTAAGTACAAAACCGAATGGCCTAGAGCCTGGCCTCTATGTTAGCTATATACATATATAATAAGTAGTCCACACATTTATATTGATAGGCTACTTATTGGTAGCAATATGTACGCATTGCTGTGTCCTTTATTATTAACATTAAAGTACCTATCCATCCAAGTTGACGAGTTTTTGATAATGTTGTGTTTTTGACTGGTTGGCCTGTACTTTTTAGTGCTATATTGATTTTCTGAAATGGTTTGAATGTTGATATTATGCATTAGTTACAATGACCAACTCAAAATGTTTGTTATGCATTGAAAAGAATTCTCTGTTTGTGTTTTTGGGCCTTGAATTTTGAATTGTGCTTCAATTTCTGTGTTTTTTAGCTTGTTAACTGAATAGACTAATAGACCATCAATTTCTGTATGTTTTTTAAGCAATGTTATACAAGTATTTCGTATAAGATTTAGGGTTCAGGAATATTTCTGTACTATGCCCAACTAATTTCTACAGAGTATTTAGGAAGGGACTGCTAATCTTTTGAATTCACACGACTATGACTATTCATTCTGGATGGAGAAGTCTTGTTTAGAAAATGTGATCTTAGTACTATTTTGTTTAAATAACATCCTTCTCCCACACATACTATACAAAGCAAAGAATAACTCTTTTTCCTAAAATCTTTTGTTTGTGAATTTATTTTGTGAATGACTTTGAAAACACATTTACATTACGAAGAAGTTGTAAATGGGAAATTGGGTTCAGTCTTTCTTTTACTTTTGAATGGCTAAAAGTTTTGATGAATAAATTAAAGTACTTCATATACTTTAAACTTGGGGAAAGGTATAAGGTCCTGGCATCTTATCCTTGCTATTTACTCTGCTTGCTGATTTTAAATGCTTACCTTAACCAATAAGTAATAAGCTGGTAACTCTGGAAATGATAAGAATTCTCAATTAGGAAATCTGTAAATTAATGTATTCAATATTAGGATTGATAGTATTTTAGACTAAATAAATTCAAACAATTTGTTTTTGACAATATACTTCCTCCGTTCTTTTTCACTTGATCCGCTTTGACTTTTATATTATTCACCACTCCTCCTTTGACTGTCTTTTGTAAATAATATGTAAGGAAAAAGATATTCATGTGAGATATTTTTGAATTCGTCTCAATAAGTACTATCATAATATATAACTTTTATAATTTTTACTAATGGAGAATTAAAGTTATTGATCATTAAACTTTTGCATTGGCAAGTGTGATAAAAGAAAAAGGTCAAGTAGAAAAGAGTAGAGGAAGTAAGTTATTATATTTCCAGACAAAATCGCACACAAATAAGACAATTGTAGACAAAATAAGTTTTTTTTTTTAAAGAAAAATAAAGTTTTGACAAGTTAAGTCTTGATAAATTAAATCTAGATAAATTCTGATAAAATAATACGAGTGTTATAAAAATATAGAGAACTTTACTTTTTGGTGTTTTGGCATCATGGCTTCCTTACTATGAGAGGAAAGGAAGGTTCTCTTTTTTTTTCCTCCAATGTATAAAGCTGATACACATTTGGTGTTTTAATTCAACATTAATACTTTCTTCTTTTTTTTTTTTTGTGTTTTTACATAACAACAAAGCATTTTAAGACATCACTACTGCAAGCTTACTGTTCTTTGTGAACTGTAAAAATGACCCAGCAGCAAAGGATCTACTTCAACATCTGACCTAGTCCTACCAAGATCAGTGCCAGGTAAGTACGATCATCCAGTTGATTAGAATTGATAACATGAAAATTTTACTCGCTTTCATTTCATGTTGGCCCTACCCTCCTGCACCCTTACTTTTTGCATGATTATAGGAAATATCAGTTGAATGCAGGAAAAGCTTTAGACTACCCTATATCCCTGCACCCATTAGCATGAATTCAATGTCAATCGCACAAAGAGACGGTTGTCATTAGCAGGATTTTATTACAAAGATAAATCACTACCCTAAATAGACAAACTATAATTCTCAAAAGGAAGTATACACCTTTATAATACCTAGAATTTCTTTCCATCAATTAACGACTTCCCTAACATATTATTGTACCTACTTTCATGAATTCGTGTAATTTGGAGACATTAAACACGACATCCTAACTACTTAACAATCTGTTCTACTTATTTTCATTGAGAACTTCACGTCCTTGTTGAATTAAACACAACCATCACAGTTGACTATAATTGATAACTAGATATTGGGTTCATGTTATTAAAAAAAAAAAAAAAAAGATATTAGGTTCATATCAATACCAAATTCATTCTAACCTGCATTGATAAAAATATAAAATAGAACAATTATCAAAGCAAGAACATAAGAAAATATTATTTGGGGAGAAAAGTCAAATATCAAACCTAGGGTTTAATCTAGGAAAAATTAAAATAAGCCAAATTTTTGCACAATTAGCTTAAAATAAGTCAAAATTTTGATTAACTAAGAATAAATTGACCTTTTTTTAAGGTATTATCTTCATTTAGGCCAAATGACCTCCAACCTCCATAGGTTGGCTATGATGGAGATTTGGGTTTGTTGAAGGTTGAAGGGGCAGTGGGATTGAGGTGTTGTTAATGGTTCATTAGGGAGGAGAAAGAAGGGGGTAGTGGAAGGTGGAGATAAAAAGGGTAAAATAATAAAAATTAAAATTCAATAAATTTTTCTTAAAAAAATCTAAGTCAATGAATTTAAATTAAATTTTTTAAAGACATACCAATATAAATGCAATATGTTTTATATTTTATGAAGGCTTAATAAAAGAAAATTTATCATAAAAGTCAACTTATTCTTAGTTTATTAAAAGGTTGACTCATTTTGAGCTAACCGCACAAGGTTGATTTATTTTAGACAAATTTTCCTTTTATCTAAGACCAAATTCTTTTTACCTTAAAACCATAATATTATGTAAGTAAAAATTAGTTCAGTTTATCAAAAATAATTTTAGTTCAGTCAGAATGATTTTTATTCCATAAAAATCAGTAATTTTAAAGAAAAAATATTATTGAGAATCATTTAATTCAATTTAAGTTCAACAAAAATAATTTCAATACAATTAAAATAATTATAGTAAAACAAAAATTAGTTGTAGATAACGAGGCCTAATTCTAGATTAAACAATATTGAAACATAATAATAAGAACGAAATAAATCAAATAATACTCAAAAGTAATTACAAGAACAAAATAAACTTGGAAATAAACACTTTGTTTAGATTGAGAGAAAATTGGAGGGGAAGGAAAAGAAGAGCAAAGAATGATCCATCCTTTATTGTTTGGATACTTTTTGGTTAGAAGGAAGGGAAATGGAAGGATTTATTTTCCCTCCCACTTTGATAAACCTTCCAATGTTGGAAATAGTTGGAGGGAAAATGTAACCTTACTTTTTCCTTCCTCCTCTTTTCCTCCCCAATTCTTCATCTTCCCTCCCTTCCCTTTCTTGTCCTTTCCACGTTGCTATCCAAACAGACTGTAAAAGAATCTAATAAATCAAGCTACGTGAATTGGCTGCTACATCTATTAAAAGGCAATGCCACTCTTTAACTCCAATAAAACCCCCTAATCTATTTGATTGCCTTTGTATATATATCTTCAACTGGCTTTTGTAGTTTTTAGTAGGACCCAAGTCTCTAATACAGGGTAAAGCTAGAAACTCACATCCCATTCTAATCTTTTGCCAAATTGTTGATCAAGTCAACTGGTAGGAAAAGATATTTCCTGCACAAGTATAAGCTTCCGCAGGCAGGCAGGCCGTGGATGCTAAGTCAGCCACGATTGGGCAGTGATGTACGCTGCCCAATATTGCTTTACTATACATTTAATATAATTTTTCGTGGGCTGCTCATATATACCATCATTATATTCACCGCATTAACTAGCTTTCTGACAAATATCCACAAAATGAAAATATAACTCAAGGAGAGCAATATTGAAATACAAAACAATGCTAAATCAATGTTGCGTGAAACTTGATAAATACTCCATGACATATATATTTGACAAGTAAAATGTGTATATTATTGTGGTATCAAATTCTCTCCTGATACATATTTTTCACAGGATTTTTGCTAATTTTGTTCAATTGTTTTATTTATTGATCCCTACTTTTATTGTGACTGCCAACCATCTTTAGAATTATAGCATTCAGTTTTTTTTTTTTTTTTTTTTGATATATGTCACTTCTCAAATTCTAATGTGGCCGACTTAAAGCAGGATGGCTGATATCCAATCAGCTGCACAGTGGCTTGGAAGATTGGTTATTGAGGAAGCAAGATACTTAGCCAATGTGGAAGACAAGGTGAAGGAGCTACGAGATGAACTTGATTGGATGCATTGCTTTCTGAGTAATGCCGATGCAAGCAAATATGACAATGCCATGGCCCGGAGGTGGGTTGCTCGGATCAGAGAATTTGCTTATGAAGCAGAGGACACAATTGAGAGATTTCTCATCAGAGTTGATACCCGGAGTACAAGGCGAAGAGACATTTTGGGCCTGGTGAAAAAATATTCAGGTTTTTTGTGGGAAGCTCGATTGATTCATGAGATTGGATCTGAAATTGACTCTTTGAAGCAGAAGATCTCTTTCCTGACCTCTAAGTTGCATACTTATGACATCAAGCTTACAATGGGAGAAAGCTCATCCTCTTGGCTATTGAGAAAAAAGATTACTTTCAAAGGGTCTGTGAAAGAGAACATAATTGGACGGGATAAAGATATGGATGAAGTTGTAGGTAAGTTGACAAAGAAAGAAGGCACAGTTGTTTCTATATGTGGAGATGCTGGTGTTGGAAAGACCTTTTTGGCTAAGAAAATTTTCGACAAGAAAGAAATCAGGAAACACTTTGAGGCCTTTGCCTGGGCTTATGTTTCTTCTCCATGCCAGAGTTCAGCTGTTCAGCAAGACCTTCTAAGCAGCCTTACCTCCAAATCAAAGGAGCAGATTTCTCAGATGACTGATGATGAGCTAAAGACTGAGCTCCTCAAGGTTCTGCGCAAATCCAAATGTTTTATTGTACTTGACGGCGTTTGGGGAAATGAGGTTTGGGATAGGTTGAAGAAATCCTTTCCATTTGCAAGCCTTGATAATGGAAGTAAGTTGTTAATCACGAATCAGCTAGAAGAAGTGGCTGAACATGTAGATCCACGTGCCTATATTTGTCGGTTAGAACCCTTGGATGCAAATCAGAGCAAGCAGCTCCTGGAAGAGAAATTGAAGATAGTCGAAAACAATCCACCTGATAAATCTGGTATGTACCTGTTTCCCCTCAGCTGCACTCCCTTCCAAACACCCACACACACTCTCTTCTAGTTTGTATATGCTATTTTGCAAATTTTTTGATCGGCTTTTTCATGTGGTCTAAACTTAAGTATAGAAAAATATGTTTGGAAAATGGTTTTGAGTAGCCTTAAAAAGCTAGCTCTGCTCTACTTTATTGGCCAAAATGCAAAATTAGACTGGAGCAATGTTCACTTGCTTTGGCTGCTTTTCCCAAATGTTGGTTAATTTTTACTTGGAGCCTACAAATAATCAGGCCAGAAATTTTTGTAAACAACCATTGCGAACAGAAGATTCAAACAAGCAGATGACCAATACAAACAATTAAAATTTCTTCACTCTTTCATTTATCCCAATTTAGTCTGTCCATTTAATTGAGTTCATCTACTTATGGTCTCCAACCCTCCAACCATGTTTCACTTTTTTTATTTTTTTTTTCCTTTTGTCTTTGTGTATGTTCCTGTGTGTTTACTTTAAATTTACTCTAGTTTAGGTTATTGAATTGGAATTCTTGAAGTACTCAAGGTAATTTTTTTTTTTTACCATCTTTATTCATTTGGTTGAACAGTAATGCCTTCTAGAATTTTTAGGATATATGAAGTATTTGCTAACATAATGTGGTATTTTAAAATACTAATAAATTGTGAACTTGACTTTGAGTATAGGGTTTTGATGCACCCAGCCATCCTCTACCTAATTTTATAATTCTGTTTGTCATAATTGTTAACTTTTTAGCTTCTGCTGCCAGAGCCTTACCATTTCTTCAACTGGATGTTTTCTCTTGTCAGACCAAACAGATCCAAGAGGCATTAAAGATAATGTACTCAAATTCTGCAAGGGCCTTCCATTGTTAATTTCTGTGCTCGGAGGAGTATTAGCGACAAAGAAGACACTGAAGGACTGGGAGGACGTCAACAAGTATATCAGCTCGTACTTGACCGAGGACCACCAGCAGGTGCCAAGTTGGAAAAGAATACTGGAATTGAGCTATTATGACCTTCCATTTCAGCTTAAACCGAGCTTCCTATATTTGGGTTATTTTCCGACTAACCTGGAGATACCTGCAAAGAAAATTATTCGGCTGTGGGAGGCAGAAGGTCTTGTTTCCTCTAGTGATGACGAAACTTCAGAAGATACACTCGAAGATGTTGCTGAACATTGCTTGGCTGAGTTGGTAGAAAGGTCGCTTGTGCAGGTGGGTTCAAGGGGCTTAACTGGAAAGGTAAAAACATTTCTAGTCCATAACCTAATGCGTGATTTATGCATGACCAAAGCAACACAAGGAAATTTACTTAGTATAGTTAAAGTCGGCTCTGAAGAGAATCAAGCTGAAGGTAAATCTTCCAAGTCACGTAAAGCTTCAAAATTGGAGAAGAAAAAATTTCGTCGCCTGGCCATTTACTATAGTGGTAAGTCTTCTGACAAACTTCCCGGTGATTACGACCAAGCTAGGCACATAAGGTCTCTGTTATTCTTCAATACATTATCAAGTGATGATGTATTGATACCCTTAAAGGGGTTACTTCTGAGAAAAGCATTTAACCGGTACAAATTGTTGAGAGTCCTTGATATCGAAAATATTGAAATGCACAGTTTACCAGATGAAGTTGGATTCTTGATTCATTTGAGGTACTTGAGCATAAGAGGTAGTTGGGTTTCCTCGTTGCCTTCATCAATCAAGAATTTAAGGTGTTTACAAACCCTTGATTTGCGTGTTCTCTCATTTGTTCATGTGAGGATACCAGATGTGTTGTGGAAGTTGGAGCGGCTGCTTCATCTATACTTGCCTTCAAAATTATTCAACCTCCGCCACGAAGCAGCTAATCTCCAACTCAAGGGTTTAAGAAGCTTAGAGACACTCTCAAACTTCGGCAACAAATGTAGAGCAGAAGATGTCGTAGAGCTTTACAACCTTCGAAGATTTTTCTCTTCTGATTTTCTTTCTGATGATAACAGCATCAAACCCCTCCTATCTCCGACCTCCAAATTAAAACACCTTGAACGTGTGTCACTCAAGCTTGAAGGTCATATATTAAAAGGATATTCTCAAACACTTGCAAGCCGTAGGCTCCGTAAATTATGGGTGAGAGGGGAGGTAGAGCAACCTATTAAAGATATAAAATTTCCTGAAAAATTAACCCGGTTATCTCTGCACTATACCAAATTCCAGTCTGATCCTATGGAAGTCCTTGAGAAACTGATTTCATTGAAGAAGCTTAGTTTAAAGCATGATTCTTACACGGGGGTGGATATGAAATGCTCTAGTTTTTATTTTAAAGAGCTTGAGTACCTCACTTTAAAAGGCCTGGAGAGCTTAAACGTTTGGATAGTAGAAGCAAAAGCTATGCCTAAACTATCTCACTTGAAGATCAATGGTTGTCAGAAACTAGAGGTGCTACCAGATGGCTTGAGATTCGTTGAGAACCTCCAAGAATTGGCGATTTCATTCATGCCGTGTTCATTCTTTGGCTGGAACAGTCCCAAGGACTTGACAAAATGGGCTCAATGCCGAAATGTAGAACATGTTCCATGTATCAATGTTTCTTACGTCCTGGATCTTAAGGATGAGTATTTCCCCATTGAAATGCCGGGCTGTCAAGGTAATATTACTTGCATTATTTTAGCAAAACTCCATAGTAATGTAATTAATAATGACCCTTTGTGCAGTGGTGAATCTTAATTACTGAAGAGATTTGTTGTTGCTTATGTTATGATCAGGTTCAACAAGTCAAGTTCCGGAGATGCAGGAAAGTGAATGCTGTTGCAGGGAGTCAAGCTAATGAATATTGAAGTGATTCAGAAGATCTGTATTTGAGTAGAATACCAAGTATACGTCTATATAAGACAATTTGCTTTGATATAAGGTAAGAGACATTTTATGAAGTTGTATATGAATAATGTGGTGTGATTATGCGTGGCGTATTTTGGTAGACATTATCGGTATATTGTAATGTGTGTAATAACTAATAAGAAAGGATTTGTTTGAATTTTATCTTGTTTTGTGATTCAGAGAATGAAATAAAACATAAACAGTTATTTTGCTATTGTTTGACAGTTCGGTTTCGGTTCGGTTTGAAATTGGGTCGGTTTGAAATCAGTTCAAATGTCTTATGGGTCGGTTTCAGTTCGCTTTAAATAATTATCGGTTCGATTCGGTTTCGGTTTATTCTTGAACGGTTTAAATTCGGTTCGGGTAGTAAACGGTTCGGTGCAAACGGGTTGCGGTTTGTTAACGGTTCGGTGTAAACGGTTTTTATCCCGGTTTAAATTCGGTTCGGGTTGTAAACGGTTCGGGTTGTAAACGGTCCGGGTAGTAAATGGTTCGGTGCAGACGGGTTGCGGTTTGTTAATGGTTTTTATCTCGGTTAGAAACGGTTCGGTTCTTTTTTAGTTCAGTTTTATTTTAGTTCCATTTATAACTGGTTCGGTTTGTTAACGAGTTCGATTCTTCTACGATTTAACATTATTTGGATCAGTTTTATTTTAGGTTTACTAAATTACGGTTCGGGTCTGTTTTTAATTTTAAAAAATCGGATTTTTATCGAGTCGTTCAAAATACTCCTAGTAGGAAGTGGTTTGTAAACGGTTCGAATTATAAGCGATTCGATTCATAAACGGTTCGGTTTATAAGCGGTTTGGTTTATACATTCGGTTTATAAACGGTTAGGTGCAAACGGGTTGCAGTTTGTTAACGGTTCGGTGTAAACGGTTTTTATGCCAGTTTAAACGGTTTCGGGTTAGAACCGGTTCGGTTTAGATTTGGTTCGGTTCTTAAACAGTTTAACGTTTACTCGGATCGGTTCGGTTTCGGTTTTACTAACATGCGGTTCGGGTTGGTTTTCGGTTTCATAAAATCGGTTTTTAATCGGTTCGGTTCTCATTCGTATCGGTTGAAATGATTCGGTTTCACCGGTTCGGTTCGGTTTTTGACAGTGCTAACTTCCTCTATTTTTAAATACTTGCTCCACTTTTCATTTTCAGCCGTTTTTAAATACTTGCTTCATTTCCTTATTTGGAAAGCTTTTACTATATTTAATTCATTTCCCTTACCTATTGGACTCACTATAAATCATATTTTATTAATTTCATATCCTCTCTCCAATTCTCTCAACTATTTTTGCTTTTTACAATTTTTTTATTCTTCCACCTATCTCAATACCTCTATATTTTATTACTTTCTCCAATTTTTACTAAAACTCTGCGCATGGAGAAATGGAGTAAGTATTTAAAAATGGAGGAAGTAGCAATATATGGGGAATATAGGAGTAATTCTTATTCGAGCGTTATAAACTACTTATTCAAGTTATAAAATGTTTATACAACGAAAATACAAGTATACATTAAAACGATCCCAACAAAACCTTGCGTGTCGACTAAAAAAGAATCGAGGAAGTAGTTAGTGGCTTGGATTATGTGACCCAACAAGACCCTATATAAGAATCGAGGAAGTAATTAGTGGGCTGGATTATGCACTCTACGTATATGTGTTGGGCTATAAATACATTTTTAAGTGAAAAAGCCCATTTAATCTCATGTATTTGGGCCACCATTAATTGGCTTTTTAACCCAAGTATTTTGTAGCTTGCTTCTAAAAAAATCTCAATAAGTCTTAGCTGCACCACGCCTTATATTATGATGAACATTTAGTAAAAAAAATATGAACACGTAGTAAAAAAAATGAACATTCAGTAATAAAAAAATGAACACGTTAAAAAAAAATGAACATTTAGTATTAAAAAGAGAACATATTAAAAAAAAATGATTATTTAGTATATTAAAAGTAAAAATGATAATCATATAATCATAAAATTGATGGACCACGACCTTAAAAATGAACATTAAGTAAAAAAAAATTAAAAAAAAATTGAAAACACGTAAAATAAGAAAAAATGATCAATTAGTAATAAAAAAATGAATATTTAGTAATAAGAAATGAACATGTTAAAAAAAATATGAACATTTAGTATTGTAAAAATGAACATCTATCATACAATCATAGAATAGCTTAACCATACCTAATAAAATGAATATTTCATAAAAATATATGAATACATCATAAAAAATGAACGTTTAGTACAAAAAAAATAAACACGTAAACAAATAAACACGTTTAAGAAAATTATGAACATTTAGTATATTAAAAATGAGCATGATTTTCTTTTATTCATATAGGTTCAATTCATTGTATATAATAATTAACAAAAAATAAAGATAAAATAGTTAAATTATGTTCATATTTTATACACTGCTATTCATTTTTAGTGTACTAAATGTTCATTTGTACAAAATATTCAATTTTAAGTACTGAATGTTCATTTTTTTTAATTTACAGAACACAGTACAAATTCGATTTTAATTATTTTAATGCTAAAAATTTGAATGTCCACCTTAAATCTAATCTTGGTTCATCATAGAGACAATAATTATCGATCTATAACATAATAGATTAGGAATCACAAATGCAAAATTGATAAAAATCAACAATTTTACAACATTCACATATTTTTAATAAAAAAATAACTCAAAATTACCTCAAGTTTCATGATCGTGACGAAGATGATGATGATGGAGAATGATACAATGGTAACGAATTGGAGAATATCCGAATTAGAAGGACAAAGAACTATAAAGATTGAAGGAAAGTGAGGTAAAAAAGAAAATTAACTTATAAAAAAGGGGAAAAAAAAGAGGAGAGAGAAAACTAATAGAGGTAAGAAAGAAGAAAAGAGAGAGTTAAGATACAAACAAGGGAAAAAAAAACGTATGTTCATTTTTGAATTATTATATGTTCATATATGGATATAGTAGCGCAGCTAGCTTAGCTAAGAATTTGCGAAAAAATCTTCTATTATGTGCTTCCTTTGTTTTCTTTTAAATGTAACACACCTTTTTGACACGCTTTTTTAGGAGGTGATTCGAATAGGTAAACGAGGTACTTTATTAAAATAATTTTAACACCACGATTAGAGAAGGGTTAGCTAATATGTGTATAAATTATTTTGATTAATTTGTCCGTTTACCTACTCTAATCACCTCCTAAAAAAGCGTGAAAAAAAAAGGTGTGTTGCATTTAAAAGAAAACGGAGGAATTGTTGACTTTTGGGAAAGGTCAGTGATTTGAGTACGTTGCCAACAAAGGGTATTTTTGCCGTGTGAAAAAGCGATAGAACATCAGGGTTTTTTTTTTTTTTTTTTTTTTTTTTTAGAGTGAAAAGGAGTGAAAAACAAAGGGTTTCAAGGAGTAGCTACTGAAAACACCTCCAATCGAAGGACGATCCGATTTTACTGAGAACATTGAATATGACTCAGTTTTCTCGTGATATTCTTCAATTTTATATCCATTTTTTGTTGCTCATTGTGATTATTGTTGTTGATGGGTAAATTGAGTATCCATTTTAAGACTTGTAATTGTGTTTGGGTAACATTCTTTTATCTTAATAAGAGCAATTGGGTGGGCTCTCATCGTTTGTTGTTTTTCCTCTTCACTTTGAAGGGGTTTTCCGCGAAAACATCGTGTGTCCTTTGCTTAATTGTTTGTGTTTGTTCATTGCTATATTTGTTGTGTTTTTGATGTTTTGATAATTGATATTGCCGGAGAATTATTGATCTTAGAGAATATATCATATTGCTTGTGTTGGTTTGACATTGAACAAACTCCCCGCTAGCCTGTTTATCAATTGATAATTCTTCCAGAGGTGTGTTTGCGAGATTAAATGATTGTAATTAAAAGCATTGTACATATTTGCTTGGAATAAAAGTATAATTGCTGATATGTTATAAAAGTAATGAAATAATATTATTTCTGTGTTAAAATTAGCAATAAAATTTAGATTAAGGTCTTTTTTTGCTCACCTTTATAAATATAAGGCCCTATTCACTTCACTTTAAAATAATAATTATTTCGGGTGAAAACAATAAGTCCTTCGTCTGGACCTTACTCGTGGCCTGAAGACTGAACTCGGCCCAAGTGATGACTGAGACGAGGGTTTCCTGCGGGGGTTGTGCCGAGGAAGATTCCTCCGATGCCGAAGTTAGTAAAGTGTTTAGAGAGAGAAAGCTATGCAAAATAGTTAATGCTTGAGGCTTGAAGTGAATGAATTGAGAGAGAGAAGTCAAGGCTTTTATACCTTACTCAAATGGATAAATTGGGCCTTGAGGGTCAAATGGGCTTGCCATATTGATCGGGCCTTTGACTGACCTGGCATGTATTAGGAGAGTTGAACCTTCTTTTGGGCCTTGTAATTCAATCATTTGTGGACCGGCCCAATTGGAGTAAATTGGACCCAAACAATAATATTCAGTAAAAATAATTTCAGTTCAGTAAAAAATAATTTCAGTTCAGTAAAAATAAGTTCAGTTGTGCAAAAATAAGTTCAGTTCATCAAAAATAATTTCAGTTCAGTAAAAATCAGTAACTTTAAAGAAAAAATATAATAGAGAATCAGTAAAAATAATTTCAGTTCAGCAAAAATAAGGTGAAGTGAACGAGGCCTAAGAGAAATAAGGGTTTATAAGGGCATTTTATGTTCAACTTACAATTAAAATAAGGCCTTGTTTGGTTTCACTTCAATAATGGGAGAATTTTGGATGAAATTACATTATTGCCCTCAAAAATTTGAAAAAATAGTTAAAGAGTGTTAAAGTACATGAGAATTACATAAAGTTATCCAAACAAAAAATAGGAAGATAATTCATTGGGATTACAATTTCCTTTATGTTAACCAAACATGATTTTAGTATTTCCAAAGAATTATAACTTACGCAAAGGTGGGAAACGGCGTCGGAGTCAGACTAGGCCTAACGTTGTCGTCATTGGTCAAAGGGTCTCTCCGCCGGTGAAACAAGGCTTAAGGACTAGGCCTAATGCCGCCGTCATTGGTCATCGGTAATTTTGACCGTGACGGAAACGGTAAAGTTAGGGTTAGGGTTTCGTGGGTCCTTGCGCTGGAGGGCTAGGCCTAACGCCGCCGTCAAGAGAAGTTCGTGACGGAAACGGTGAAGTTAGGGCTAGGGTTTCGAGGTTCCTTGTATTCGTGGTTTCGGGTTTTTCGGTTTGGACGGTGCTCTCTTCTGGTTTGTTCTCTTTCCAAAGTATGTTTTTTCTTAGTAATTATCATAGTTTACTTGTCTTAGCTTGTTTTATGGTATATTTTAGCCTCCTTTGGCTGTTTTTCGGGCTATTGAGTTGTTTTGGCTATAGTATTTTGGATGGTTATGTGTAGAGGGAGTTAAGATCCTTTGTTAAGGATTGTGGTGTGGTTATAGTGGTTAGAGAGTTTACAGATGTGGTTGTTGGGGGGTTTGAACAAGAAGTTGGCCTTGGCTAAGGTGAAGTGTGTATCTTGTTGGAGTGGTATTGGTTTGGTTTCTTTTCCCTCGGTTGTAATGATTCTACCCTTGTGATCATTACTCTTGAAATTTGTTATTTGAAGCAGGCGCCCAAACTTTGTTTTGGGGTTTCTCGAGCCTCGACGTTGTCAAAGCTTTCTTGCCAACAAGGAAAGCTATTGATTGGAAGGTCACTAGTTCAAGTGACCCGTTTGAAGACCTTACTTGGTGATGAGTTGATCCTGCCAAGTAAGGAAATGCTAGCCATGGTCAAACAGTTTCAATTCTCTCCGTTGCTCTCTTTATGGTGTGTAGTATGTTTTTGCTCCTTGGTTTGTAAGGAGTCCCTAATCCGCGACATGTCCGGCCAATTCAAGTTTAATATTGTTTTTAATCTCAAAAGTTGTTGTAACGGCTTAGGTGTTAAAAGCCATGCTTTAAGTTTTAGTTCTTGTTCTGTATTTTGTAAACTCTGATTTTAAAAATATATTTGCTATTGTTAGGAAAAAAAAAAGAATTATAACTAACCAAGCATTGTAACTTCCTATGGGTATTTAATTTCTATATGCAACCAAACGAGGCCTAAGTTTTAACGAGGTCTATTAGTTTTGTGACATTTGGATGGCATAACACTAATCAATTACAAGTTTCAGGTTAAACTTGGGAAGGTATAAATTCTTGGCGTTGTATATTGTATGACTTGTATCCTTGCTTTACACCCTGGTTACTGATTCCAAATTTTTATTTTTTCTGCCAATTAAGATGTCGGTTGACTCTGATCTGCTTACTTCATCTGAAATGTCATATAGGAAAACCTGTAATTTTTGCTTCAGAATCCTCTGTTACTTTACAATCTTTATTTCAGATACAGAATAAGCACAGTGTAAAGTCATTCTTTGCTTAGTTTTTAATTTTGGATTAATGCCGTTTTTTAATCCCAACTTTTACCAATTTAGTTTCATTAATCCCAACTTTGGATTATTCCTCAATATTCCCAACTTTAAGGTGGCCTATCATTCTTCATACCCAACCGGTAACTAAACCTATTATATCAGGTCACTTGACACGTGTCAAGTCCTGATTGGTTTAAAAAAAAAAAACAGAAAAAAACCACAAAACAGATAACCTCCCCTCCCCCATCGTCCCACCCTAACCTCCACTACCACTGCCCAGTCCGCCGCCCCTCCCCTCCCCTCGCCGGAACGCCGCGTCTCCTCCACCCTTTGCGTCGCAGTTTTCCCCCCTCCCTAAAACCCCCTCCTATTCCCCCACGCAGCCATCGAAACCCCAAAATCGCAGCCTCGAAACCCACAATCAAAGCCACAATCTTCAAAGTTGCAGCCACCAGCCACGAAAACGGAGGTTTCAGGGGAGGTTTAGGTGTTTTCGAGAGTAGGGGAGGGGTTTCAAGGGAGGTTCACGAGCGGCCGGCGTACAGGTGGCCGGATTTCGTGGTTGGTGTCAATTGAGTGGAGAGAGAAAATGAAAAGGGGTTTTGTGGCCGGGGCCAAGGCGGAAGGAGGGGAAATGGTTGGCGACGGTGGCGAGAGGTTTTCTGATTGAATTACCGGCGAATTTGGGCGGCCGGACGGCGTCATGGGGTGGCTGGCCGGTTTCGTGGCTGGTGTCAATTGAGAGGAGAGAGAAAATGAAAAGGGGTTTAGTGGTCGGGGCCAAGGTGGAAGGAGGGGAAATGGTTGGCGACGGTGGCGAGAGGTTTTCTAGGGGAGTACCGGCGCATTTGGGTGGCCGGACGGCGTCATGGGGTGGCTGGCCGGTTTCGTGGCTGGTGGCTGGTTTTTTTTTTTTTTTTTTGTTTTTCTTATAATTTTTTAAATTTTGGTTTTTTTTTTTAAATATTTTTTTAACCAATTTATTTGTGACACGTGTCACTTTAACAAAAAAATAAAAATAAATTAACCCATTCAACCGGTAACCGGTTTTTGGGATTGAAAAATGATAGGCCACCTTAAAATTGAGATTATTGAGGAATAATCCAAAGTTGGGATTAATGAAACTAAATTGGTAAAAGTTGGGATTAAAAAACGGTATTGGAACCATGTCTTCCTTGCATTTAGAGAAAGAAATATTCTATGTTTCCTAAGTAGTATGAATCATATACTAGATTGATATTTTTGTTCAAAGTTAATACTTTTTCTTACCTTTGTGTATGGTACACCCCATAAGCAAGTATATATAAATACAATACACACACATTTTTTTTAGAGAAGAGAGAAAAAGAGGATGGTACCAATGCTTGAACCCTGGATCTAGAGTTTAGAGGTTTATACTCTCACCACTAGTCTACAGGGAAAGCTGGTCACACACATTTATTCTAACTGCATGGTAGATATTGTTTACATCAAAATCTGACTTACTCATTCAATTCCATGATTAGCCATTTTAATTTATAATTTTTATCCTTGTCAAGTCATCTTTATTTACTAGTCGCACGTTAGTTGGTCTTGCCTGAAGCATAATTTAGTATGCCTGCTTGTTTTATTTTTATTTTATTTTTACTTTTTATTTATTTATTTATTTTTATGGGGAACCTTATATGAAGTATAATCCAACTTTTGTAAATAACTACTCCCTTTGTAATTTAAAAACTAAAAAGTTATGACTTTTTGCATACACCTATTCCACGTTAACTAATTTCAGTGATTTGAGCATAACAAAGTATATAGTCACATGAGTACTTATTATTGGAATTATTTCAATAAATTTAATTATTATAATTTTTATTTATTGTGAATTAAGTATATTTATTGGTCAAAATTTTGCATTAACATATGTACACTGGAGATACCTTTCACTTAAAAAAAAAGAGTGATCTGAGTACACACAATTGTATTGGTAGCACTACCTTTATGTAAAAATCATAGTACAATATGCGAGGTTGAAGGGGATTATGGGAATAGTGTCGAATGTACAGATGGTAGTGTAAAATTAGGTCAGATTTCAACATTAATAATCCGAAATCACTGAATCGTAGCAAAAGTATGGCACATTTCGCAAAATATTGAATCGTTACATACTACTCATTGGATTTTTCACGCCTTTATCAGAGTTTTTCGCTGGAGTGTTGTTCTTCTATTTTATCACTCTCGCTACATTTATAGAGTTTATTCATTTAATGGGGGTTTCATGGGGTAGTCGTTTTAGGTGGGGATTTCATGGGGTAGTCGTTTTGGGTGGGGGGTTTTATGGGGTGGTCGTTCACTACTAGAAATTGGCCGATTTTCGATGAACTGGTTTCGACGGACACGTATTTCCGTCAGAAAAATCGGAAATTCAGACGAATTTTTATTCCGTCGGATATTTTCGACGAATTCTAACAATCTGTCGGAAATTTCCGACGAAATATAAATCCGTCAGAATATATGGACTTTCCGACGGAATATTCCATCGGAAATTTAAATTTCCGATGGAATTAAAATCCGTCAGAAATTTTCGGCGGAATATTCCGTCGGAATATAATTATATATAAAAAAAGCCCTTACCTTTTAAACCCTAAACCGACCCCTCCCCCTTCCCCTTCATTTCATCTTTTCTCTTTCTCTCTCCACATCTCTTTCTCTAGCTCCGCCCCTTCTGTTTCTTTCTCCTCTCTCCTCCTCCTTCTCTTTCTCCCCGCCCTTCTATTTCTTTTTTTCTTCGCCTCTTTTCTTTTCTTTTTCCTTCTTTCTTCTCTTTCTCGATATTTTGCGGTGGGTGGTGTGACGGTGTTGTTTTCTTGATGTTTTAGAAATTAATGGTTTTTTTGGTCAAATTCGACCATGAAAAGTCTAGATCTAGACTTTTTATGGTTGAATTTGGCCTATTTAAACCAAATTTGGTGGTGGTGTAAGGATCTGGTGGTCTGCATTTTTTTGTTCTTTGTGTTTTTTTTTCTTCATATTTTCGGTTGTGGCGCCGTGGTGGGTGTGGATGTGGTGGTTGGTGCCGTGGTGTAAGGATCTGGTGGTCTGCGTTTTTTTGTTTTGTTTTGTTTTTTTTTTTTTTTTTTTTTTCGTGGTGGGTGGGTTGGGTTTAGTTTGGGTGGTTTTAGATCTGGGTTTAGGTGGGCAGTGGTGGACGATTTTAGATCTGGGTTTTGTTTGGGTGGGTTAGGGTTAGGTGGGGTAGCTTAAGGTGGTGGGTCTGGTTCTGTCAAGGTTAGGTGGTGGATCTGGTTGGGTTAGGGTAAGTGGTGGTGTCGTGGTTGTAGGTGGTGATATGCCGTGCTGGTGGTGGTGCGACGGTTTTTTTTAATTTTTTTTTTATTTTTTAATTTGGTTGCATTTTTCCGTCGGAATTGTGTTCGTCGGAAATTTCTGACGGATTTCTGACCCGGAAAATCTCTTCTGACGACTGTATTCTGTCGGAAAAAGTCGTATTTCCTACAAAAACGTTTCCGGCAACCAGTTCTGTCGGAAACGGGTTTTCCAACGGAAAACAGGATGTTTCCGATGGAATTTTTCCGTTGAAAATGGCTTGTTTTCTAGTAGTGGTTTACATTACTGTGCATGCCAGGCTGTGGGCTGCCTTTATTTGGGAGAAACACGACAAGGTAAGACACGACCTGACCCAACACGACAAAGCACGCTAAAATCAATGAAAATTTACTTAGGCATGTAAGCCTGGCACGATGGCACGTGGACCTTGACCGTGCACGGGCCAACCTTTTGAAATTTTGGTCGGACCCGACACGACACGAAACTCGTGGGTCGAGCCATGGGTCAGACCTCACGGAACCTAAAGCACGTGGGCTCGACACGACACGACCTAGAGTCATTTTTAGGGAAGGGGGGCTTCTGGAATTAATTGATGTGGAGAGGAAGGGAACAGACAATCCCATAAGTGGGGTCGGCTACATGAACCAAAATTGATTATTCCGTGTAGTCATCCACAAAAATCTGTCTCCTCCATCCCTTACGATCCAATGCTTCATCCTCATGCAAATCCATATACTTCATATCCTTCCTAACTCCTTCCAACCAAGTCATTTTCGGTCTCCCTCTCCCTCGTTTAACCCCTTTATGGTCCCACTCTTCCACTCTTCGAACCGGTGCACCCTCGGGTCTCCGTCTTACATGCCCAAACCAACGCAGGCGATTTTTCCTTAGTTTGTCTGCAATGCCTACCACACCTACTTTCTTGCGAATAACCTCATTTCTGATTCTATCTCTTAGAGTGCTCCCACATATCCACCTTAACATGCGCATTTCTGTAACCTCCATCTTTTTAATGTGCTCCTTCTTAGAAACCCAACATTCTGTACCATAGAGCAATACTGGTCTTATGGCAGTCCTGTAGAATTTTCCCTTCAACTGTAAGGGAATGCTTCGGTGACATAACACTCCCGTGGCCGCTCTCCATTTAAGACACCCCGAATTAATCCAAAGGGCCACGTCTTGATCAATGTCACCATTTTTCTGGATGATCGACCCAAGATACTTAAAACATTCACTCATGGTCAATTCCTTTCCATCCAAACTCACCATTTCATCACTTGCTCCCCTCTAAGTACCAAAGCGACATACCAAATACCCAGTCTTACTCCGACTTAGCTTAAACTCTCTAGATTCCAAACTTTGCCTCCATTGCTCCAACTTGGCATTAACCCCATATTTAGTTTCATCCACCAAAACGATATCATTTGCAAACAACATACACCATGGAACCTCATCTTGAATTGGTCTAGTTACTTCATTTAGAACCGTTGCAAAAAGAAAAGGGCTTAATGCAAACCCTTGATGCAATCTAATTGTGATAGGGAAATCTTTTGTCACCCTCCACATGTCTTCATATTTGTTGACACATCCCGATACATATCCTTACCAGGTCCACGTACTGTCGTGGAATACCTTTCTTCAAGATTGCCCACAAAGTACCTCTCTTGGCACCTTGTCATATGCCTTCTCCAAATCAATAAAGACCATATGAAGATCCTTCTTCTTTACCCGATAAAACTCCATCATTTGTCTTATCAAATAAGTTTCTTCCATATTAGATCTCCTACGCATAAAACCAAATTGGTTATCTGAAATGCTTGTGCATGCCCTCAACCTATGTTCAATCACTTTTTCCCACAACTTCATAGTGTGGCTCATAAGCTTGATCCCTCGATAGTTAGAACAATCTTGAGCGTCTCCTTTGTTTTAATAAGCTGGGACCAAGGTGCTCTTCCTCCAATCTTGCGGGATCCTCGTAGCCCTCCATATCTTGTTAAAGAGGTTTGTTAACCAATCAATACCAATCTTACCCAAACACCTCCGCAACTCTATCGGTATACCATCAGGGCCAACCACCTTCTTAGGCTTCATTTTCTTCAGTGCAATCTCCACCTCTACTCTTCTAATCCTCTGCACATACTCCATGTTGATTTCTTCATCACTCACGGAGATCTCCTGTCACAACTCCATTACTTCCATTAAACAATTCATCTAAGTACCCTTTCCTCCTGCCCTTGATGTCCCCCTCTTGTACTTGGACAATTTGGTTCTTATCTTTGACACACGTTACCATGCCAATATCCTTCCATGCCTCTTGACTTCTCTTTGCCATCTTATAAATGATCTTTTCTCCCCTCTTGGAGTCAAGCTTTTCATAAACCTCCTGATAAGCCTTTTCTTTTGCTTGTCGAACAGTTATTTTTGCCTCCTTATACGCTGCAAAGGTTTCGTCACTCCTACATTTTCCCAAGGCTTGATAGCATTCCCTTTTTTGCTTAATTACTGATTTCACCTCTTCATTCCACCATGAAGTATCTTTCTGCATCAAAGTTATTCCCCTTGATTTCCCTAAGACCTCTTTGGCCACTCTCAGGAAACAATTTTTCATTTGTAACCAAGTCATGTCTGGATCCACCTCTCTATCCCAATCCGCCTCCTTGATTACCTTTTTTGTAAAAACCTTAGCATTTGTTCCCTTAAAGTCCACCATCTTATCCTTGGCTCCTCTTGTCTTCCTTTTTTCTTTGCCTTCTCTTTCAAACGAGTAGTCATAACAAAAAGCCGGTGTTGAGTGACCACACTCTCTCCTGAGATGACCTTGCAGTTTAAGCAACTTTGTCTATCCGTGCTCCTTGTGAGCAAGAAGTTTATTTGTATTGCATTTGCTCCACTCCGGAAAGTTATCAAGTGTGAATCCTGCTTCTGAAACCAAGAGGAAGGGGACAAACTAAAAAAAGAATCATCTTGTTTCTCGGGTCGGGTCAGGCCAAGCTTCGAGACAGAATTTATGTACCCAAACCCGCCCAAAATGGCTGGCTGTGCGGGCATTTCGTGCTGGGCCAAAAAAACAACTAAAATTGCATAAATTCACATTCCAAAGCCCGCCCAAAAAATTTAAAGAAGTAAGTCGGGTTGGTCCCGAACCGATTTCGGGCCGAAAATATATGTCCAAAACCCGTCCAAAATAGGGCCAAATCTGGTCAGACTGACTTTGATGAGCTCTAGATAAACATACCCTCGGGTATATTCCGTGTTTTTCTTCCCTCTGACTCATTTTAACAATCTCTCCTCCCAACAAACCTCCACAAACCATCACTAACCGCGGGCAAGGTCATCGTTGGAATATAATTAAAGTCGTTTTTTTTTTGGGTAGAGGTCAAATGCTTGGATTTTTTCGAAGATTCCAGGAGAAAACATCCAGAATTTCAGGGTAGATTTGAAAATTTCGAAATTTCAGGCATTTCTTTTTTTTTTTTTTTTTTTTTTTCATAACTTTTGATCTCAAGCTTGTATTAAGACAATTAATATATTGTTGGAAAGCTCTGGGTTCTACTTGCTAAAATAATTGGAATCAGATCAATATTATTTCTAGATTTTAAGATATAGTCGAAATAGTGCAAGAGTGTTGGTTTTGGACCGAGTTTGGTATTTAAGTAGTGACTTGATTGATTTGAAACCTTATTTTTTAAAATCTATATATTAACCTCCGTCCCTCAATTAATTTTTATGTGTAACTTTTGTTTTTTTTGCACATCTTTCAATACAATATTGTAATTAAAATATTTCAAAATACGCATTTCAAAAAATTAATAGTTATATATTTGAAAAATGAGAAGTGAGACGAATCTAGCATGACTATGTTTTGAAATACGCATTTCAAATTCTTAGTTTAATGAAGTTCTCTTAATTGTTTCAATTTGGGCTAAATTCAGATTTCAAATTCCAACTCATCCAAACACTAGAATTAACCCAATTCCAGGAACAAATGAAATTCTTGTACGTATCCAAACAGAGCATAAGAGAAATGTTATTGACACTACTGATGAATCACATGTATGTGAGAAAATGACCTCGTTCGAGCCAACAAGTAAATCAAACGTATTCTACAGGGTTGCCTAGCTAGACCCATAACACTTTCAATGAATAAGATACTTACATGTACTCTGTATTACTTTTTTTTTTTCTTTTTTTTTTTTTTTTGTCACGTTTTAGGTGATTATGTTGTACTCTATAATTTTTTAACCATGTTTTACTTGTACCATTTGATTCACATCTGGAAGTAATAATTCAAAGATACATTTACAACTACTTTGCAAGCATGCAATTAAGTTAAATGTATGTATTACTTGTGATTGAGATAGTACGTAATTGTTTAATTTATCTACAATGCGTCGTATGTAGAATGGTAATTGTTTAATTTATCTACAATGCGTCGTATGTAGAATGGTTGATTTCCAATCAGCTGCACAATGGATGGGAAAACTGCTACTGGAAGAAGCGCAATACCTTTATAAGGTGGAAGACAAGGTAAATGAACTAAAAGATGAGCTAGAATGGATCCAATTCTATCTGAGAGATGCAGATGCTAGCCAACATGACAGTTACATGACCAAGAAGTGAGTTGCTCAGGTCCGAGAATTTTCCTATTGCACTGAAGACACCATCGAGAAATACCTCTTCAGAGTCGCCACCAATAACAGAGGGATAGGTACCTTAAAGACCAAGTTGATTAAGTTTTTCAGTGTAGTCAAGGAAGCTAAAGTAGTACATGAAATTTCAAATGATATCGAAACTTTAAAACGTAAGATTTCTCTCTTAAGCTCGAAGCAGATGCTGTATAAGATCCAGCTTAAGAAGGAGAGTAGTTCGGCGTCTTGGCTATCAAAAGAGAGACATACTACTTACCACAGTTGCAAGGAAAAGATTATCATAGGGCGCGAGAAGGAGTTGGATAGATTGATGAATGAATTGGTTAGAGACAAAAAAGTTGTTTCTATATGTGGTATGGGTGGTGTTGGAAAGTCGTTTTTAGCTGAGACAATATTCCAACATCAGAAAATCAACAGAAACTTTGAGGCTTTCGCTTGGGCTTATGTTTCGAAACCATCCCAGAGTATTGTTATTCAGCAAGACATACTAAGAGGCCTTACCTCCAAATCAGAGGAGCAGATTGCTCTATTGACTTATTCGGAGCTCAAGAATGAGCTCTGCGAATTTCAGTTTAAATACAAATGTTTAATTGTGCTAGATGGAATTTGGGAGAAGAAGGTTTGGGATAGTCTTAAAGATGCGTTTCCGGTTTCGAGTTGCAAATGTAGGAGCAAGCTATTGATCACAGCTAGAGAACAGGAGGTCGCCAAATATGTGTGTGAAGATGCCTTTATTGAAGAGTTGCATTGCTTGGATGAAACGTGTGGCAAATTGCTAATAGATGAGAAACTCAAAGATAACGTTATTCTTTTCACACAAGGTGTAGAGGGTAAGATCTAAGTTCCAATTACAAGTACTTATTTCTATTATGTTCTAGTGTATATGTAGTCATCATATTGTTAGTTTACATAAGTAACGTACTTGATTTCTTTCTTGCGGTTAGGATCATACGTATATCTTATATTATCCTAATAAATAAACTAATTAATTATTCGACATCCCAGTCAAAATGCAAGATGTAATTACGAAATTGCTGGAGCATTGTGAAGGCCTTCCATTGGCGATATCTTTGCTTGGAGGAGTATTATCAGCAAAAAAGACACTTGAGGACTTGTTGATGGTGGAGGAGAATGTCAATTCATACATAAAGATGGTTGATGGTAGCCTGGTTCCGCGATGGAAAGGAGTACTAGAATTAAGCTACTATGACCTCCCCTATCAGCTGAAACCAAGCTTTCTATATCTGGGATATTTTCCAACAAATCTCGAAATTCATACAAGAAAAATTACTCGACTGTGGGAGGCAGAAGGCCGCGTTTCCTTTGGAGACAATGAAATATTTAAAGACATGACTATTGGAGATGTTGCTGAAAGGTGCTTAGCGGAGTTGGTAGAAAGGTCTATGGTGACGGTTGGATCTAGGATCCCTACTGGTCGGGCCAAGACATGTATACTCCATGATCTCGTAAAAGATCTATGCATAGCCAAAACATCAAGAGGAAAATGGTTAAATTTCACTGAATTTCCTGTTCAAAATAATCCACAATCCTTAAACTCCAAATACAATAATAAACAAGCAAAATTTACAAGGTCCTTATTTTACTTCACACTAGCCAATGATGGGGATGTTTCGATGAATCTAAAGCACAAGGTTTTACGACAAGCATTTGAACGTTACCATTTGCTAAGGGTCCTAGATATTGAATATATTGAAGTTCATAGTCTACCAGAAGAAGTGGGATGTTTGGTCCATTTGAGGTATTTGAGTTTAAGGGGGTAGTTGGATATCTTGGTTGCCGCCAACAATCAAGAATTTAAAGGGCTTACAAACGCTTGATTTACGTGTTCTATCATTCATCTGTGTGGATATACCGGATGTCTTATGGAAGATGTCGCGGCTGGTTCATTTGTTTTTACCTTCTAAGCGCTTCTTGATCCATCGTCATCATCACCACTCATCAGAGAGTAAGCTAATTAGATTGAGTAATTTGAAACACTTAGAGACTCTTTCAAATTTCATTCACAGATGCAGATTAAAAGATATTGAAGGCCTTGAGAAACTCCGAAGATTTTCTTTGTGCGACTTTCTCAAGGATGTAAAAGGCATCATGCCCCTCATTGATGATTCTTCGAGCTTAGAACACCTCAAGCACGTGTCACTTAGGCTCGATGGTGAAGTACTGAAAGGAAATCATCAAGCAATAGGAAACTGCTCTAAGCTCCACAAATTATGGGTCAAGGGAGCGATAGATTCACTTGGTTCCGATATGCTGCCTAAAAATTTAACTGTGTTATCTTTTCATGATTCCAAATTTCTGAGTAGGGATCCTAAGGAAGTCCTTGGTAAATTGAGTTGCTTGAAGAAGCTAAGTTTAAAGCATGATTCTTATCTAGGGGAGGATATGAAATGCTCTAAAGGAGAATTTCAAGAGCTCGAGTACCTCATTTTAGAAGGCCTGAAGGAATTAAAAGTGTGGACAGTAGAAGAAGGAGCTATGCCTAAACTATCTAACTTGATGATTAATGATTGTCCAAAACTGAAGATGTTACCAGGTGGCTTGAAATACATTCAAGGACTCAAAGAATTGTCAATTTCATTCATGCCTTTTTCATTCTTCAATTGGAAAAATCCCACGGAAGACATAGAGGAATGGTCTCAATACCCAAAAGTAAAGCATGTTCCGCGTATCAATGTTTCTTATGTCCTGGATCTTGAGGATGAGAATTTGCCCACTGAAATGCCGGGCTGTCAAGGACTCAAGGTAATATTACCTGCATCATTTGTTAGCAGAACTCAACAGTAATGTAAGAATGACCCTTTTGTTCAGTTGTAAAACTGTGTGTTTGAAGAGATTTTATTGTTGCTTATGTTATGATCAGGTTTAACAAGACTAGTTCCAGTACTGTGAATGCTGTAGCAGGGAGTCAAGCTAATTAATAATGAAGTGAAAAAAGATCTATATTTCATTAGAGTACTACCTACTTCGTATATGTCTACATGACCTTGCTTAGATAAAGGTAAGTGATATTTTATGGACTTGTATATGAATAATGTAGTGTGTTTATGTGTGGCATGTCGTATATATATTGCTATGTAAGTAATAAAGAAAGGAAATGTATTGATTGTAAAGGATATGTGACCTGTATATTGTAATATGATGTTCCTTGTATATTATTATGTGTAATAAGAATATATTCCGTATATTACAAAAGTTAGTTTACTTAATTATTTGTGACATTGTCACCAATTGTATTATTTAATTGTTTTTGTTCTGTACTTTATTTAACTCACATTTTTAAAATTTTATGTCGATCAAACCAATAAATTTAGAAAAAAAAAGAGAGTATAAATATTCAGAGTGTGCATAATGTAATGTACATATTTTTCGTACTATGAGAGTAACCAGAGTAATCTAAAATTTACTTTGTACGAGTAATTACAATGGAAGATTAAATACAGTTGTAGAGATTTGGCGCCACAAAGGAATTTCCCAAAAAGTCCTAAAACATCAACTAACTACCATTTTTTTTTTTTGAGAAAAACTAACTACCATTTTGGGATTAGTCTTAAAATCATTAATAATGCCACGTCAGCAAACAAAAATAAAAAAATAAAATCAAATAAAAAGTTCCTTCATTCACCATCATCCATAAGTCCATAACTAGTCTACTATCTCACTCTCAACCTCCATTTCATCTTCATCATCTTCATCCTCATCTCTCCAATTTTCTCTCTCCTCATCTTTCATGGATGCTCTCTATTCTCCTACCACGCAAACCCTAGCCCTAATTCCTCGATTTTCTTTGTCTTCTTCATCTTCTTCTTCTTCGTCTGTTTGTTTATGTATCTCCAGAATTCAATCAATTCGCAGTGATTTCTTCGGAATTTCCCCAAAATTGAGGCTCAATTCTCGTCGGAAATGCAAGCGTCTTCGCTTTCATACTACTCAAGTTCCCGTCGCTTCGTTGAATTCGGTCCCGATTGTTGCTGTTATCGTCGCTGCCATGACGGTTTCTGCCGTCGCTGTGGTTTTCTCCAATTTTTACTATTCTAAAAGGAAAAAGGTTTGATTTCAGTATTCCTCTCTCTTAAGATTTTGTAATTTTTTGGATGATAATTGATGTGATTGTTGAAATGATGGTATCTCAACTTGTATTTGGTACATAGATAGATAAAAACAATGATTATAAAGTAAATTGTGGTATTAGTGGATAAGATTCTTGGAATTGTAGCCATTGAAGTGTTTTTTTATGCCGCAATTTCGAAAGTAGTTAATGGATGGCATTCTGTGTTAGTAATTTGTTGGTAGGAGATTGTGCATTTCTCAATTCTCGGCGTAAGATTGCTTGCGTTCAAGTGATTTGGTCTCGGTTTTCCGGTCTTAGGCAGAAGGAATAAACAAAATATCTCCTCCATTTTTTAGATGAAACACAAGTTGCCGATGCATATCTTCAACCAATAATATTTGATATTATCAATAATTTTGTTAAAATAAATTGGTATTTGGTAAACAAGACCCAAAGTGTCTACGTTTTCCTTTTTCTTACGACTTAATCATCATAAGTCCATAAATTGAGATTGTATAGGAATAGTGTAAATTTAGAAGGGTTTCATCTAAAAAAAATGGACGAAGTATTGAATGATCCACTCTAAGAGGCATTATGGTTGTATTCATTAATAAAAAATTGTTTGCTACATACTCCCTATTAATATACTTTTTAAATCAATTGATAGCTAATAAGTAGCTAAAATCATAGTTGCACCTTTTGCATAGTATATGTCCAAAATCTACTACAAAAGCAAAAATGGATGAGTATTGGTGGTCTTTTAAAATCAAGATAGTCTTAGATTATTATTGGTCAAACTTTACAAAATTTGACTTCTCATTTGAGATGGCCAAATTTGGACAGGGGAAGAAGAACTTCGATGAACAAAAAGGCCAGGAGTCACTGTAAGAGCCAAGTGGGAGGGGTTATTTAGGTAGGAACAATTACAAGATGAAGAAGGAAAATTGTTGATTGTACAAAAGCCATTGAATAACTGGAAGATGTATGACGCTGAAGAAAATATATTTTATACTTCATATTATCCTTTTTGTTAGTAAACTTGACTTTAGGGTTTTCCTTTTTCACCTGTACTTGTCATTTCAGTTATTTTCTGGTGCACAATAGAAATAGATGATAGGTAAGTAGAATTTGAATTAACCTATAATCTACATAATAATTGTTTTAGATGACTTGGAATTTATAATTGATGACCTTTAATTCGTGGTATAGTATTTTAGTTTTTTTGGTTTTCCCTCTTAGTAAACCACCCCCCCCCCCCCTCTTTTTTTTTTTCATATGTACCCTGTATTGGAGTAGGGATGATTACTTCTGATATTTCCCTCTCATTGCCGCTCTATAGGTTTCATCTTCTGAGTATAACCAAGAAGAAAAAGGTATAAGAAAAGTGGGGTTTTATAGTCCAAAAGATGCTGCACATCTTCAGATGGGAAGTTTGAAGGAGATAAATTTTCCATCATCAGGAGAAAGCATCTCTGAGGATAATGTGGGCAGGGTCAATTTGTCATGGAAAGGTTCTTCATCAATACCTGAAGATACACCTGCAATTGGACAAACAGATTTTTCTGATTCTAAATTTTACGAAGTAGGGGCTGTTGCTTCTGCGCTTATGGAGAAGAGAGAAATAGACCTATCTCTTCCACATACATCTTCTCAACATCTTCAGATAGAAAGTGTCAAGGAGCCAAGTTACTCTTTATCAGAAGTCAAAGAAACCAATATTAATGATAATGAGGGCGGCACTGAATTGTCATATCAAGATCATGTTGCAACACCTAAAGATATGCCAGATGCTGAGTCTGCAGATTTTCCTGATTCTAGTTTTCATGATTTAGGGGCTATTGCTTCTGCACTTTCAGTGAAGAGTGAGGAAATTGGTCTCTCTTTTCCAGAGGAATCTCCCGAATACTTTGACGTGGAAAGTCTTGAGGACAAAAATTCTTCACTATCAGAAGTTGTAGAAACCACCTTAAAGGAAAATGAAGGTAGGATCAATTTGTCTTATCAAGATCCCTCTTTGACACCTTTAAAAACATCTGATGCGGAATCAGCAGATTTTCTTGATTCTAACTTTCAGAATGTAGGGGCCATAGCTTCTGTTCTTTCGGAGAAGATTGTAGAAATAGGGCTATCTCTTCCAGAGGCATCTCCTGAATCTATGCAACCACCTGTCAACTTAACCGAAGAATCAGACTCTGTAAGTTGTGGAGTGGAGACTGATTTGAATCTAAATTCACCTGTTCATGTTGATGAGATGAAGAATACCGTGATTGCATTTGTGGATACTACATTCACAAAAGATAGTAATCTTATAGAACCAAACCGCGATCAGGATGATTTTAAACTTCAGAAATCTAGCTATCAAGAAAGAACAAGATCTGTTAGAGATGAGCTGTACTTGTTTTATGAGAATTCAATTGCATCAGACAACCCAAAGCATTTGCTGGGAATGAATGGATCATCTACTCAAGCATCTCATTTGGTGAAAAACAACTTCCCTGTGACTACGAGGAATTCTGCTCCTAACATGTTGCAAGAAGATTTTTTCCAAGCTGCAGGTTATGCTGAATATATCTCTGGAACATGATTAATTATCAGCAATCAGTTGTGTATCATTACTATATGGCTTGGAGTGTCATGATTCTGCATCAAGTATCTGACTTGTTTTTTAGGCTTTGATTTTTCCAGGCATCAGAGGACATGGGCCTGTCGTATCCCATGCAGGAGGCTCTTTTAATGAGGGAAAAGGCTTGCGGAAAGTAAAAAGAAGTCTAAGAAAAGAAACAAGGGCCCGTTCTTTGCTATATGACCACCGAAGTCTTTCTGATTCTCCTGATGTGACTTCACTGGAAGCTAATAACCAACACACTATACCTAAGCATATGAGCTCTTACAACCGCTTGCTGAAAAGTGGCAGGTATTGATTTTAATAAGCTTTGTTCCCAAGTTTTTGAGATTTCACGTATAGCTGGATATTGAGGCAAATAATTTGCTTACTTTGAAAATCATTAATTTTGTGACATACTGGTTTTAACAGATAGAATTATGCATAGGTTTTGGTGAGGCTATTAACATTTAATGCCTCCACCTCACTTTACTGTTGGATTCTTCTGTAGCCTACCTTATATACTTCTCTCTATCTCCATCTTTTCCTGCATAACATATTCTATTTATCAGGTTAAGAGAATGTGTAGAGTTGCTTGAAGATATGGATAGCAAAGATATATTGGATATGAGTAAAGTAAAGTCACATTTTCTTTTTCTTATGCTCAGAAATATTCTATTCTACAAATTAAGATTAGTAATTAATAAAAATTCCTTTTTTTTTTCTTTTTTTTTCCTTTGTGGTTCTGATCTTTTATGCTTTGGTTTCAGATTTACCATGCTAAGTTTTTTGATTTTTGTCGAAGACAAAAGGCTGTTAAAGAAGCTTTCCGTTTTACCATGCTGATTCCAAATCCTGCTCTTAGTACTTTCAATATGCTTATGTCTGTTTGTGCTGCTTCACAAGATTCTGAGGGTAAGCTCTAGCTTATAATGGCAATTTATTTAGGTTTTTTCTTGATTTTTATTTGATCCACTTTATTGTGATCTAATTATGATTGTGTGTGTAGGAGCTTTTGATGCTTGGCTTCTGGTTCAGAAGGCTGGATATAAAGCTGATTGTAGACTTTACACTACTCTGATATCAACCTGTGCTAAAAGTGGAAAAGTTGACACTATGTTTGAAGTGAGTCTGCTTCATCAGTATTGTTTTTAAGTTGCTTTTTAGGATTTAAATGAGTTGTATCTTTTTTTTTGAGAAGCCTTGCTCTTCTTTTGTATAATTAGTCTATCAGATCTTTCTTCCTTTTCTTGTGGGTAATTTGTTTTTCCTTACAGTTGGTTGTCCAAATTATTATTCTTTTGTGCAATGTGTGTGTACAGTGTGTTGTCCTTTCTTTTCTCATATTGAGTATATTAAAATTCACACTGGAAATTCATCAGGTCTTTCATGAAATGGTGAATGCTGGGGTGGAACCAAATCTTCATACGTATGGAGCTCTTATTGATGGTTGTGCAAGAGCTGGTCAAGTAGCTAAAGCCTTTGGTGTGTATGGGATTTTAAGGTCTAAGGTGTGTAGTTATTGAATGTCTGGAGATGAATTTGATTGTTTTTTGGACTGTCTGTGCATTGCTTCCTCAGTACCTCTAAAAGCCAATTGATAGCATACCTATATGCAGTAGAATGTGAAGCCAGATCGAGTTGTATTCAACGCACTTATCACCGCATGTGGCCAGTCTAAAGCAGTGGAACGTGCTTTTGATGTGCTGGCAGAAATGAGATCTGAACTACAGCCTATTGACCCTGATCACTTTACTATTGGCGCTCTGATAAGAGCCTGTACAAGCGCTGGTCAGGTAAGGAGTCTCTTAACCGTGTTACATTCAAGTTATAGGCCTGTTGTCCTAATTTACTGCTATGCAAATCAATCATTTTAAAACCCTCATTAACAATCTGCATTTTCTAGGTTGATCGAGTGAAAGAAGTATATGCTATGATGGAGCAATTCGACATCAAAGGCTCTCCAGAGCTTTACACAATTGCTGCTAATAGTTGCAGTCAGACTGGTGATTGGGATTTTGCATGCAACATATATGCTGACATGAAAAGGAAGGGTGTGGTCCCTGATGAGGTAATGCTTGGCAACCTAATGTCTAATTTAGATGTTGCAGTTGCCCTTTATTTATTTATTTATTTTTGACTAGGAAATTTCATAATCCTTCCCCAAATAAAAGTCCTATTTCACCCAACAATCTTATCCTTAAATAAAACTCTCATTTTACCTTAATCTCTTACATTATTTACTTTTAATCAATTAAACCTCACTATTACTCTTTTTTTTTTTTTTTTAAATCAACCAAACCCTCAAATCTTTTTTTTTTTTAATCAACCAAACTCTGCTATCTTTTTTTCTTTTTTTTTTTTTTTTTTTTAACCTTCTTGAAAATGTGTGCAAAAACAAATAATACTTTTATTCGGGGATGCAGGGAGTACTATAATTCTTTTCAGTGAGCTGTCATAGGGTGATTAGTGTGTCATTCATAGTATTCATCTTTGTTAGTAGTCAATTATAGAAAATTCATCTTTTTGTGCTGTTAGTAATCCTTTTGTCTTTGTTGATGTATTTGCTTAAAACACTCAAGCTTCTCCTGTTTCATGCAGATGTTTTTTTAGTGCCTTAATAGATGTTGCTGGGCATGCTGGTAACCTTGATGCTGCTTTTGAGGTTCTGCAAGATGCAAGAACTGAAGGGATGAATCCAGGAATTATTGCATATAGCTCGTTGATGGGGGCCTGTAGCAATGTATGTATCCCTTACTTTTTCTTGATTCTGGTCATTTCAAGTTGTTAAAATCAGTATACATATATCATACTGCATTGCAAAGTTCTTGAGTGGTCTTTGAGTAATAGAAATTTTGAACACTAAGGCTTTGTTGTTGATTATTGTGTTGGATCATAGCCTTTAATTGAAGGTTTTTTTTTTATATAATGTTCAAGTTTACCAAAGTATCTCTATTTGATATGCCTAACTGCCCCCTGCCCAGAGCTGTAAGTTGAACCAAAATTACTCACAGATAGATATAGTAAAAAAATTGAACCGACTAACCAAAGAAAACTGACAAGAATAGACTTGAAATCTTGAAGCCCAGAACAATAAGTTTAAAATGCACTTCAAACCCATAAATATGTGATTGACTGAACCATTGACTTGACCTACTAAAATTAGCATAGAATTGCATTTTACACGGGAAGCTGACCGTGCCCAAGAAGAACCTGACAAATTTTTATTTTAAATCCTAAAAACACACTAATTATTGTTACAAAAAATTTTAACTGAAAAAATTAAATTAAGTAACCCAAGCCCAATTCATTCAACACTTTAATACTTTACATTGCTTGCTGCCTATAGCTTGTAGGATTTGGTTCAGTGATTTCAGTATCCTTCCCAATTTAATGGAATAAGTGGAAAATATCCTATCATAGCTCCGGCCAGATGGGTAAATGAGTTTCTTGAAATTTGAGCACTTTGCAATGTTATTTAAGACATAGTGAAGGGAAGTTACTTGTTCCCTTTGTTTTTATATTCTAGGTCTATGCTATATGATGCAAAATTTGTCATGAGAATGACCATAATGTCAAATACTGATTTCAGACCCAAAATTGGGAGAAGGCACTCGAGCTTTTTGAGCAAATCAAAGCTATGAATATGAAACCCACAGTTTCAACTGTAAATGCCTTAATTACTGCACTCTGTAAGTTACTCTGTCTATATACTGTTTTTGATGTATCTAAATTTATTGTTAAAGGGTAATAATATATAAAATGCTTAGGCCTTTGGGTTGTGAATAAACATTCAAGTTCAATATGGTACATTTCCTAATATACTCTTGTTTTGAGTATTCACATTTGCCAATGTATATCTTTGACATTAGTATCTCTAGCAGAAAAATGGGAATAATTGTAAGATGTATCATTTATTTTAATCATTGCTCATCATTTTTGTTGAAAAGCTTTAGCAAAACATTTAATGTTCTTCCAGTTTCTGATTTCCATGAACTAAGAAACCTAGATTGCAAAATGCATGTGGAACTCAATTGTTAAACTGATAACAACAGATTGACAATAACAACTCAGAATTAGTGTATCAAAATGGTTTATGCAAATATAGGAAATTTAATCTCCATAGATTGCTCATGTTTGTTTACTATAAAGCAAAAAGAATTTCTTGCAAGCAGTTAGTGTATAAAATTGGCTTACAGAAAATCCAAAATGGGATTAGTATTATTGTTTTTCTATAATTCCAGTAAAGATTAAGGAAACAAATTAGAAGGTGAACCCAGCAAATTTATGAACTCTAACATGAAACACCGTCAATTTGGAAAGATAAAAAGCCATATTGTTGAAACTTGTTCCTGATAAATCATCGGGCTTGTGGAGGCTTTTGCAACAAAATTGACCCTGGAAATGTCCACGCAGGTGATGCTGACCAAATGCAGAAGGCTCTGGATGTTCTGACAGAAATGCAGAAACTCGACTTGAGCCCAAATAATATCACTTACTCCATTTTAATAGCGGCAAGTGAAAAGTAATTTCTCTTTTTCTTATGTCCAATGAAATACTATATTTTTTGGTGTAACCTTTGTTCAAGGTCCTAGACACAGAAAGTTACTGCTTTGATGAACTCTGAACATGTGTCTTCAGATCTTATGCATTTGTTCTTTATTCTATCCCCTGAGAGGCTTCTAGATTCTTGAAAGAAGGGTTTATGATGGTTCTTGTGCTTTGCAGAAAGGATAATTTAGAAGTAGGCCTTGCACTCTTTTCTCAAGCAAAAGCTGACGGTGTTTCCTTCAGCCATATCATGTGTAAATGTCTTATAAGTAAGTTCGAACGATTTATTGATTAACTCATTTCAAATTTCTTTGATCAAGCACCTTGGTCCGTTCTCATGCATTATTCATGCTTTATGTTAGTGAAATGCATATAAGTGTTTGGATTGAAGGAGATGGAGGGAAAGGAAATGGAGGGGTGGAGTATCTTTCATTTGGATACCAAATAAGGAAGGAAGGGAAATGGAGGGGAGAGAAATGGAGGGATTAAATTGTAAGAAATTGATCTCTCCAACAATGGAGAGACTTGGAAGGGAAACTCATCATTCTTCCCTCCCCTTCTTTTCCTCCCCCTTTCTTCATCCAAAAACACTGTAAATGTTCTGGCAAATCAATACTCTTATCTTGAGTATCTTAAGTGGTTTCTTGTAAAAGGTTTGAGTTTCTTGCAATATGAAGGATATGTACTTTGAAGCATTTGATTATCATTATTTGTGCTCCCTGAGTTCTGAGTGAATGACTGTGCTGTTTTAGAACCTCACTATGCTCTTGGCAATGGTGCAGTTTCTGGTTTGAAAAACATTATAAAATCTTCATCTAGTCATTTTATAGGCCTTTCTTGTTACCCTTCTTGTTTTATGGGTTTATATGTCTTTATATTATAAAGCTTTTCGCTACAGGGTGTTTCTTTTTTATATTTTTCCTAATATCTTTTTAAATATATTAATTTATTTTTAACATATAAATATCTTTGTAATTGGTTTCTGTTGCTGCAATGCATCTTACAGAAATGTGCTACCGGAGATATGAGAGGGCTTCTACAATTGGTGAGCCTGTTTTATCTTTTAAGTCTGGACGTCCGCAAATTGACAGCAAATGGTATTCCATCCGCCCTCTATATGTTGATGGATTGATTTATGTTGTGTGCTTATTGTCATCACTTTTCTTCATTTTGACATAAAAAAGTGACATATGGCTGAAACAAGTTCCTTTGCTGACTTTCTTCACTGGAGTTATGTGGCTAAAATTGGTGGGGGGTGGGGGGAAATCCTACACTGGATACTCTAATGGAACTACTTCAGAATTTTTTTTTTTTTACCAACCAGTGGTAAAAGTTCCAGTTCACATCTGTTTAAGAATCTTAATGATTTTCTTTTTTCTTCTTTTTTTTTCCCATTAAAAGGACTTAACCTGCATTGGTTCTTCTAATGGACACTTGACACTTCAGGATGTTTTTTACTAACCATTGGTAAAAGTTCCAGTGCACATCTGGTTTAAGATTTGCCTCTTTTTCATTAAGAGGACTAACCTTCTTTTATATATATCTCATGGTGTAAGGTCACTTGAATGATCGAACTGAACAATTAGTTAAGCTTTGGTACACATTCTCCCACACATTGAAAGAGAAGCAGTCTTACAGAAACTGAAAGAGCCCCCCCCCAAAGCTAAAGTATTTGAATAAGAGGGATGGTTGGGATATGAGTCTTAGGCATGCGATTAGGGCTACTAGCTCATAACTAGTAGTGAGAGATGGAGGGTCTACCTTGGTGGTCGGTCCACTGTACCCTGGATGGAGGCTTTAAGAAACTTAAAAAGCCCACTTATATAATTTCCTCAAATGACACTAAATTATCAACCTTGACTATGTAAAAGGAATTCACATTTCAATATCAATATACATACTCTAGCTCCTTTGATTTCTCCCAAATCAGAATTGGCACGGTCTTGAGCACATATTAGTAAAGAGAAAATCTAGGCTGTTCTCATTTAATCGTTTGGCTAAGATTACTTAGTTATATTTCATACGGTCATATACGTGTGTGGCTTTTTTTTTTATGTATGCTCGTTGAAATTTTATACGCAGTATGACAAATATTATGTCTAAGGAATTTCCCCCTTTTTCTCTTCTGTTGTCTTCAGGGTATCCTTGGCTTTAATGATTTACCGTGAAATGATTGGATCTGGTTTGCTCCCTTCTATAGATATTCTTTCTCAAGTTTTAGGATGTCTACAGCTACCAAAAGATGTATCCTTGAAGAAGAGGCTTATTGAGACTTTGGGAATCAATGCTGAAACATCAAGAAGTGCAAACCTCTTTCCATTGATAGACGGTTTTGCAGAATATGACCCTCGTTCTTTTTCGTTGTTTGAGGTTAGCTATATATTAACTCACCCTTCCATCTTTTCACCACTACATCATGTAGACTCATGCGGTCTTTCATGAATGATTTTTGGGTCTGTGGATTGATATTGCTGATATTTTTAGCATGATTAGAATTGTAGCACCACTTCAATTTATATTTTTCCTTCAAACTATACATGTTCAAAAATCTCCCCCCCCCCCCCCAACAAATAAAAGGTTCAGTCTTCGACAAAGGATATACACTAGGAGAAACAGGTTATTTACTAATTATAACAATTGCTTATAAGCTCTCGTGTGATGATTCACATTATTTGAATCTTTATGTATTATGGTCTTTTCATATGATATGATATGCATCTAATGCACATGCCTAAGATATTAGTCACACTTTCTTATTTTAAATTTTCAATTACATCAAACAAATTTAGAAGAGATTTTGCGCAGCCCCATTAATCTTATTTCATTAATACTTCTTCTATCTCATTAAAGATACTATCTGGACTGTTTTTTTACTTTTAGGAAGCTGCTTCACTTGGCATTGTACCTGGTGCTTCCTTTAAAGAAAGTCCCATTGTAATTGATGCAACAGATTTGAACATTCACGTAGCAGAGGTGAGTCCGCCACCCATCTCCCCTCCCCCTCCTCTGCCTTCTTAACATTGGTTACATTTTGGACAACTGGGATCTGTAATTAACTTTTCCTGAACTTTTATCATGTTTCAAGATCAGCATGATCACAAAATGAACTCGGCTAAGCACACACAATGTCCATATATATATTTATTCAATGCTCTTTGAATCCAAGTGGTTCTATGATCTGTTGCGACCTGTTATTTTGGTGGTAGACCCAGTTGAAGAGTATGATGATTAATCACCCATGTTCTGCATTTGAACATGTCTGTGATTATTATTTTCCTAAATTTTTGTTAACCATAATACTTCGTTCTTTGACAAACTCTAAATCAACCGAGACATGCATCCATTATTTTTGTCTTGGTATGAAACTGCAGTGTTTAAGATATTTGTATCATGCATGGGGCTTTAAATTTCACTGAATAGTATGGTATTCAACCTGTCCTTGCCTCTCTCTTCATTGATGCTCATTAATTGCACCATCTCTTTGCTAGCTCCAGACTTGCTCATATATGCTGCTTCTGTTGTTGTCTTGTTCCCAAGTAGACACATTTCTACAGTATAGATATCTAGCACATTTTTTAATAGTAGAGATATAAACTAAAGTACTCTTCAGTCTACATTACTAATATCAGAATTATGGAATCCTTTTAGTTGCCTAACAGAATTAAAATAGGGAATACCTCAGGATTGCTGCTCAATTTTGCATTCTTTTTGCATATCATCCATTCGATGCTGACTGCTAATCAATTCTTGTTCATCGCATTCTCTCAGGTATATATCCTAACAGTTTTAAAAGGACTCAAGCATCGTCTTGCTGCTGGTATGATTAAGCTTATCTTTGCTTATTAATTTATTATTGTACTTAATGGATACATGCACTCTATTTTCATCAAGTTGAATTGTCCTCTTTATCCTTTACATGAAACCCTGCTGTGTCTATTATCTTGGTGATCTTAGAATGTTTTTTTTTTTTTTTTTTTTTTTTTGTCTGCATGTCCTAGTGTTGTCTAAAAGCTGAGCAAAAGTAGCTTCTGAATTATTATATACTTTGTATAGTTTTTCTATCTTCAGTTGAACTTGGTTTATTGCTCTGAGCAGCCGCCTAATGATGGTCCTTTTCATCCCAATTCTCTCTCACCCGTGTTTCATTAATCTTTTGTAATTTGTTTGAACCGCAATATTTTGCATATAATTTGTAGTCATGTTGTGATATAGCTATTTGATACCTGTATGTTACAGGGATTTTAGGTCCCTTTTCCCCCTAGTATTCTATCTTCTGAAGTTGCTTTCTGTATACTTATGAGTTTATGACTCAGTTGGAGTTAGAACAGTGGCAAATGGAAACGAAATGTGTGAATATTTGAATGGAATTTCCCATGTATTGTCATGGTAATGCATTTTCATTATTCAGCTAGTTGTATTTATCGATAATTCTCAACATCTCTTGTTACTTTCTGATATAGAGGGTATGAGTGGCACAGCATATATTAATAATTTAACATGTATTAAAAATTTAACATATATTATTGTACACATTCTTGGCAGTGTACATATATTAAAAATTTAACATGGACATTCATATCGCAGATTTTCCACATATTATTAGACTTCTAACGATATGAGCCATTGGGGTTCTTGCTTTTTATAGAAGCTGCTATCTTGGCATTGCCTTGCCAAAATTGCAGAAGTGAGCCTGATCAATACATGTTGAAATCTCCCCCGCAGAGAGATTACCATATTAGTTTGTCCACTTCACAGCTCTCTGAAAAGTTGCTATTCTACGGCATTAATGTCCGAGTCAAAATATGTTGTAACTGCAGAATGCATAAAAGACCTTGATCGCTTTATTTGAATTATTATGCAGGTGCAAAGGTGCCCAGTATGACTATTTCACTGCCTGTGGAGACAACAGACATTGCACGTCCTAAAGGAGAAAAAACAATCAATCTCTCTGCAAGGTTAGTCATGCTTTAAGCACTTAGGGCATGCTTGGATTGGGGGTAATATATTAAGGGGGGTAATAAAAGTCAAACTTAAAAAAAACATAGGTAATTAGAGGTTTTGTTGTAGGAGACAAGGTGTTTACAAATGGAATAAGATAGTTGTGTCATGAGGAGAAGAGAGAGAAGGAACCATCACAGTACAATGAGGGTAATGTTTACCCACCCTCCCCCTACTGTAACTATTACCCCCCAAAATGAGGGTAATAATTCCTCTTTCTTCACCTCATACCACACCATCACCACATAATTTTCCTTGCAATCATACCATCACTATCTCATCCTTCCCTATATTCACTTTTATTTTGCTTAGTTTGACTTTATTTACCCTAGTAAACATCTCCCTCCATCCAAGCGTGCCCTTAAATGGATTTTATGAATATAGATTGAGATTGCGTTTGACTGTTTGAGCTATCACGAGAACTAATTATATGGTGGCCTCAAGGTTTATGGTATGCACTGTAGTTTGTACTTTGTAGATTATCAATTGCAAGGAAAGCATTTGCATTGTTTAGGAAAATACAATTTATGCTGGAGGAAAGTGTGAAGACGCACCAAATGCAATTTTATATAAAGGACTTTTTTTTTGTTGCCATATTGTTTGCACAAAGTTTATCCTAGCAAGCTTCAGGATCCTCTAAAGGCTCTAATGCAATTTTTATTGTATAGATTTGGCACAACTTAGCTAAAAAAAAACCAGCGAACATGCCTAATAGCAATTCATTGTGTCATTTCTTATTGCAGGCTTAGTCAAGCAATTGGAGCTTTATTTAGGAGATTACGGCTACCATATCAAGGATCTGAATCAAGTGGCAAAATCAAAATCAATGGATTTGCTGTAAAAAAATGGCTTCAGCCAAAACTTGTTCCTTCATTTACTGGGAATCAGGCACAAACACAAGGACAAGCACAAGCACAAATGGGATTATCTCAATTAAGATTAGCCAAAGAAATCACGCATCAGCAGCGCAAAATTCGTACTGGGAATCTTTCCCTGGACTGATGAAAATCTGTAAGTAGAAAGCCCTAAATTTATGAGTTGTATATGAAAATTTTCCATATAGTTTAATCGGGTTATATCTACCAAATTTTGCTCTCCTAACTGCCTTTTTATGATTGATCAGAAAAAATAAAGGCCATATTATTTTGCATAGTCTCATTTACAAAATTTTTAATTCAACCAAATATATTGTAATTTGGTTGCATGTTGGGGCTGAAAAGTCCCCAATGTTGCTCAACACCAGGATCCTTCAAATCTTCATCAAACATAGCAAAAATGAATCCTTCTAGTAATGCCGCTGGCCTCTTTGGAGTCCCTTCAAAGTCATTAACATGATGTATGAAATTTCGGTTGTAAGTGGCCGCAAGACCTGGAGTTGTGATATTGCCATTCCCATCATGGGGCCAACCGGTCTCAGATATTATGATGTTAACATCATTAACACTCTCTTTCTCCATTGCCGAGAAGAAACCATCAAGCATGGCATCAAGGAGGTTGGAGTACCTCAGAGCTCCATCCTTGATCAGTGGTTCAGTTGTCCTGAATTGTGCATAGTCTAGTCTTATGTTTTCCGGGTCTGCAGCGTAGGGAAAATAAGGGTAGAGATTAACCAACAGTGGGGACTTTTGTGATGATAGAAATTGTATAATTCCGCTGATAAAGGGGCGAGCACTATCTGAAAATAAGGCTGCTGAGGGTGGGAAAGAAGTTCCTAGCACTGCTGAATGCACCACTGTGGTTGTCCTCGTACCTAGTTCCAGCAGGAAATGGTATTAATTAAAAAGTGTAGTATAGCTATAAGAACCGAGGAACCGAGTTGTAAGATTAATGGAAGTCATAGTTCTGATTTAGGGTTGATTTAAGCTCAATGCAATCTCCTCTTAGAGGTTGATGTGTTATCACTTACCGAGATTATTGCTCCTGAGGACATTCTGCAGATTCTGCATGGCAGGCAAATAGAATCGCTAAATTCTCCTGGTATAACCTCATTACCAACACTGATGTATGTTATCCGGATGTCATTGACATAAGGATGAACATTGCTAATGAACCACGAATTTGCTGCATCTTCACTCGATGCAAGAGTTGGTATATCAGTATTCTTAACACCCAATGTGAGGTCGATATTGCTCCCTCTTAGAGCTTCAAGCACTTCTGGATATGGCTCAAATATCCTCATCTTCCGGATGTTGTGTTGTTTATAGAGACTGACCACATCCTTTGGAGAGGGTAGATTATCTCCAACGAGCCCATAGCAGACACCAACATCACCTTTAGTTCTTCTTCCGAGAACTGCAAAACTTACATTCAGAGTTAAGGCCAGAAGTAGTAGTAGTGCCCTGAAACCTGCCATTTTCAATCTGTTCTGTTTAAAATGGCAAGAAGCAGATTGGGTTTTATACACTGTGCTGCTAATTTATGAGCTTTTAACCCTACTTTTATGTGTAAACAACTTAAGAAAACTTCTATATAGAGTACTTAGGAATGAAATTCTTTGAGAATCCAAAGATAAAATAAAAATTCTTCTTTTTTATGACAGCAAATAAGTTAAGTTCTGTTTAGACTCCTGATATTGTGGTACTACTGAGCAAGAGTATCGAAACTGCTCAGTGTTCAGGATGCATTAACTTCAACAAATATAAGGAAAATGAGATGAAAATGTTTACTAAAATTGGAGATTTGTGGTTTGAGAGTAGTTTGATGTAAAGATGGAAAATCTAAGATTTTTATACCACGATATGGTCTTGTTCTTAGGGAAGGTGTCAAGCATTTTTTCCATCTTTTCCATTTTTTTTGTTTAAGTACTATAAATTGTTCTTTCCATGTTTTACTTAAGAATCTGGGAAAAAATTAATCTCTTGCTTGTGTGATTGAATTTTTAAAAATACAACGAAAATGCACATTATTTGTTTTTTTTCAGAGAAGCATAGAAAGGACATGAACCCTTCCTTTTTTTTTCAGAACAAAAATTATGCATAATATATATATTTACACACCTTTAGTCAGAAAATTTATTTTGAGTATCTTACCTACCAATCTGCAAGTCAAGAATTATTCAATATGATATCTAAATTGACATTCTTTTCTGACGGATCAAAGAGACTACGAGTGGACGAAAATATATGTTTTAAGTTAAACTGGTTTTTAATACTCTAATCCAGCTTCTTTGAGAAGAACAAGAACTTTTTAAGTAGAGAAATATTCATGTTTTTGGTGTTATTATGAATGGAATTTTATCTTTCAGTGTTTACCAGAAAATAAGCTTATAATTTCTCTCGTTAGTCATATACTCATATTCGATCTAGTGATTGATTGTGAGCATCACCAAAATGTAAAAAAGTCACTTTTAAATCATAGAACTAGGCAAACAGGAAAACTGCAAATAAGTAAAACTATGAAATCTGAAAATGGAATCAATAAATGTATATTAAATGAATACCACCCCACTGAATGATGCAGATAGGGGGAAAAAAGTTACATCAATTTGTACAGTTTTTTTTTTTTTTTTTTTTTTCTCGGGTATCAATTTGATCTAAAAAAACCCGAAAAAAAATTGGAACAGCAAGTGAAACATCATGTTGTTCATATCTTCTATTAGCACCTAAGTTCAGACGTAAGAGTAAAGAAGGTGTCTTCAGAGCAAGGAATGGTAAGAGCACCCATGGGATGATTGAACCCATATTCTTCTTCAGCACGCTGTAGCAAGTCTTGAAATACGGGGTGGCTCAAGTAAGAAAGTGGCACCACATATCTCTTCTTATCAGCTTGCTCTTCTACATAAACTGGTATGTGCCCCTTTGGAACTACTTGTTGATTTTTTGTACGAATTTGCTTTGCGTTAGAGAGTACAGAAGGGAAGCGAATTGCCATTTTTGTGAGGAAGTTGTGCTAGAGGGAAAAAGAAAGGAATGCTCGAACTTGAGAGGATTGATTTAGGCTTTGCAAGAGATTGAGAAGTTTGAATGTGATGGAATTGCTAAGGCCTTGGATGCTATTTATAATAGATTTGTGGCTGCTGTTATGTGTGTAATATGAGTAGTGAACACTGACCCACACAGTGAAGACCTTCACATGGCTTTGTATTTTTAGTTTAGCAATGCCATGTTCTGCTAACCACGAACTCATGTTTCCGACCCACATGTTCTACTTGAGGGGGAGCAGCTCCACCTGAAGTACGTGAGGGTTCTTGCCAGACCAGTCCTACGGCTACTATTACTGAATATATTTTCTGGCTCCTGTTAGACTCTCTGTCACAGTCAATGCATGCAAATGCTTGCAAATGATACGCGACATGTCCATGTGAATTTGCGCACTTGGTAGATGTAAGGACTCAGATGCTCGGGTTTTAGTCATCTCAATTAGGTTTTTTGTTGACTCATTGATTGTATTTTGATGATGTGTGTCATCAAATATTATGTTACCTGGGAGTGTCTTTGTTCCGTAATGAGAACCTGTATCTGACTCTCAGACACCTTGATATAGCCAATAACTGTTGCTCTAAATTCTACTCAAAAAAGTTATGGAACTCAGCTTTCTGAAAACGTTGTTTCACCTTCATATGGCCGTACAATCTAATTTTTGTTCCTACTCTGAGTTGTTCGCCTAGTCATTAAAATTGTACTCTTGGATATATTAAGTCTTAGGTTCATTTTCCTCATCCATACGATAAGTATTTTTTACTGACTTATGTGCTTCAATGCTCCCTATGGACAACCCTCAAAACTTCCTGTCAGTTTCTGTATTTGCCTTGAATTGGTGTGCCACAGCAGTTAGAATCTCTTCACATATGTAGGTTTAACTTCAATTCAGGATGGACAATTCGCATTCTAAAATATAGATTTGATAGTATAGAATACATGTAGATACCGTGACTTAGGATGAAAGAGTTAGCAAGAGGTACAAAGTTGACTCAGGCGTCGATTGACTGCTAAGAAGATGATAGGGGCATCAATTGTTGCTATGTTACCAAACTGATGTTCTGCATTGATAGGAGCTGTGATCTGATTATATATGTGTAGGGATGATCATAGCATAGTGACAGTAATATAACAGTATTACAGCATGAGCTTATTCTATCCTACTTTTCCATTCGTATAAATCACGTTCTCATAACTCAGTTGGGGAGCATGTATCAGAAACTACAGAACACGTTCTCATTATTCGTATAAATCACTGCTGCAGAGACTATATAGGAAAGACTAAACAAAAAATTGGCAAGCGAAATCTGAAAAGTGAGGCAAATATGATCCAAATTGTAAGTCCATTAAATATTATAATGAGAACCACCGATCTGAATGATGCAGATGGGGGAAAAGTATATCTGTACAATGTTAGTTTGTCTAAGATGAATATACATTCATGAAAAAACCCCTAAGTTAAGAGTAGAAAGTATGACAGATTGGTTTGTTCTTCATCTTTCATTTAACACTTCAGCTCAGAAGTTAGGCTGAAGAATTTTTCTTCAGAGCAAGGAATTGTGAGACCTCCCATAGTAAGATTAAACCCGAACTCTTCTTCAGCATGTTGTAACAGGTCTTGGAATGCAGGGTGGCTTAAGTAAGAAAGCGGCACCATATATCTCTTCTTATCAGCCAGATCACCTACATAAACTGGAATATAACCCTTTGGAACTACTTGCTGATTTCTAGTAAGTATTTGCCTTGCATTAGAAAGTACTGAAGGGACGCGGATAGCCATCGCTTGTGATGAAATTTGTTTGAAAGAGAGAATGACGGAAATGCTTCTAGTCGAAAGGTAGGAATTTATCTTTTGTAAGGGAGAAGCTTTTGAGTTTGATGTAATTACAAAGGCTTAGCTAGCTTCTTATAAGAAGGTGAGTTGATTACAGCACTGATAATTTATGTAGACGGACATGGCTGACCCACCTTGTTTTAGGCTCTCACATGTCTTTGTTTCAAACTCATGCGGATTCATAGGCCTGTGTTACAGTGGAAATCCTGATCGTGGTGGAGCTATGTGAAACTTGGTTGCTAGAAGTATTATTGTGTCGATCTTTTCTTGGCTCCTACTATCTGCAATGCTTGTATAATTATATGTCGAACATACCCATGTGAATGGCGCATACCAAATATACATCAGGACCCAGATGGTGATTAAGGCATGAGTCATTTTGATTAAATGAGTTGTTGCCTCACCTATCACTTTAATGCTTACTCTTATAGTTGTTCTTAAGCACATCCTGCAATATGTTTTTATATATAGTTTCCGTAACTTCCTATGTGTCGTTGTTGGCCCAGTACTTTAACTTCCTTAAGTCTTGTATTCAAATATTGTTCTGTATTCAAAAGCTATATTTGACTACCGGCAAGCAAGCCAACAGACTAGTATAAATCTTCCCATATGTTTGACTAATAATTGCATATATACTACATTGCTCGTTGAAAAGGGCAAGGTCTGTCTCTGGAAAAGGTCCCAAATACGTTGAGTTGGCATGTTTAGAATATGATTATTCAGAGAAATGATAGACATGTCTTATGAAAATCCTCTGTTGCATCTCTGTACTTACAATATCAATAAATAGAAACTGATAATCTGGATTCTGGAATTCAGGATGACAGTTTAGTGTTTCATATTGTATTATATTATCTATTACAAATATCAATTAATCATGATCTGCTTGAAAACCATTTTATTGAGACAGGTATTTGGAGAAACTCCTCTTTTCTTCTAAGTTTGAGATTAATCTAGGTTGAAAAACTATGTGTACTTTGTTTTGAGTAGCAAGCAAGATTTGCAAAAATCTTTACTTCTTCATGTGTTATTGAACTTAGATGTCCAGCTGATGATTAAACTGTCTTATTCAGCTTTGCAATTCAAGTTGTGGAAAAAAGGTTGCTAAAGAAAGAAAATTGGTTTTAATTATGTTTCTTGCTCTATCAACTCCCTGCAGCACTGCTTTATGCTGTAGTTTGCCAAAAAGAGAATAGATAGCTTCATGAAACGGAGAAGCAGTCAATTCTGTTACTATGCTACAATAATGTGTTTTCTATCCTAGTTTGATTGGCCATTTGTGTTAATCACATATACGTTCAGTAGGAGAGTATCAAGAACTTAAGAATTGTTCATTGCAGACTTGCAGGAGTAAGAAAAACAACAGTAAAATCAGAGACAGAATAAGGCTGAATATTAAGGTAGTTGTATTGGAAGATAAGAGTCAATTAAAATATATGCAGATTGAGAAGAAAAAAATAATGTATACATATGTACAGTGTTGAATTGTTATGGCCTGGGTGTTGGGTCAATAACATATATAAGACCCCAAAAATGTTAGACATCGATGATTGATCTTCACATCATTCGATCTGCTGGCAGTTCAGTTGAGTTAAGAAGTTAGTTCAAAGAACGCTTCTTCAGAGCAAGGAATTGTGAGACCACCCATAGAATGATTAAACCCGAACTCTTGTTCAGCAAGCTGTAGCAAGTCTTGAAATGAGGGGTGGCTTAAGTAAGAAAGCGGCACCACATATCTCTTCTTATCACCCTGATCACCTACATAAACTGGAATATACCCCTTTGGTACTTGCTGATATTTTGTAAGAATTTGCTTATCAGAGCATACAGAAGGGCAATGAATGGCCATCTTCACGATGAAATTGTTTAAACGAGGAATGTTTAAAGTTGAGAGGAATTGGCTTTTAGGAAGAGAGTTGTTGAGTGTGTGATGAATAATTTTGCAGAGCCTTGGGTAGCTATTTATAATAGGTGAATCGCGGTATTCCTTAAAACTCTAGTGAATAATATTGAAGATAAATAATTGACCCGCCTCTTTTAGGGATCTCATATGTCCACATGTTGTCCTGGATTAAGGGAGATGCACCACTTGTTTCTGAATCTACAAGATATCATATCTATTTCTAAGGCTCCCATTAGTTTCTATGTCACTTTTTTTTGCCTGAATATGCTTTTAACAGACCCATGTGAATATTAGGACCCCAGATGTTAGTAAATTTGTTTTCTTTCTAATCTATTAACTTGTGACTCATTTTCGTAAACTTGTTAATTGTCTCACTTGAATTGCTTTATCTTATGGTTGTGATGAATTTAGTCATCAGACTGTTTTGTACATACATAGCTTTCATAATCACCTATAAGTCGTCGTTGATCTTGTGCACTTAATCATGCTATGTATAATTTAATTATGAAGATGTTCTCACTCCTGCCAAGCAAAATTATGAAATAGTTGCTTGACTTTCTTCCATATGTCTGGTATAGCTAGTTGTTTGAGCTGATGACATATATTGCTCTGGCCAAGACCAGGAAGGTACCCAAAAAGTCCCCTAATCGATTTCTTGATCATTATAATTGATTGAGTAGATTTATAGAATGAATTCTATCCCATCAATTCATGTTGAATTTCATCTTATTATACCTTGGCTTGCTTGCCGTCTCAACCTAGTGCAAATTCTTTTTTCTGTTTAAGGATTAGACAAATGTTCAAATTCTTTAACTGCTTCCATTAGGTATGTAAATCGAGTATTCGGTTTCAGATCAAATCCATTCCAGATTGAGGCATCAGGAAATGGAACAACTAGTATTCGATTATCAGTAATTAGTTGCTTGGCTTGCTTTGATATACCTAAGAGAGTCCACTCACCAGATGCAGCAACAATTCGCGGGGGTGCTGCAAATTAGTCCTCTCCCCATGGATTGTCCTCGCCATAAGATTTTCACCTAGTAGTGAACATAAAGGATACCTTCTGCATTTATGTGCCTTAAGTCTCAGCTCCTTTACCACTAATCCTTAGGTTCTGTAATTACCTCTATATTGTTGTGACATTAAATAGTTGTCTGACCATGATTATGCTCAAATATTGCAGGTTCAAATTGAATAAGTTGATTCAGTAAGCTAAGAACAATTGAGATGGTAACATGCTAGCTCAGTGGCAAGCGATATTTAAATGTAACACAGACGAAAGCTCAATGTTTCAAGGTATGCTGATCAGATCAAAAGGATATTAGATTCATAATCTTTCTTTTTACAATTGCGTTCTTTACGATTTTCATTCGTGTTAGTCAAGTAGTTGTAGTCAGGTGGAGAGTAGTAGAATTTGAAGTGCTACTGCAGGACTATGGAGAATGACAATACAGAAATTTAATTATCTAGAAAATGTAGAAGCAAGCTAAGGCAAATGTTATCCAAAATTCGAGTCTTTAAAATATATGAAGAACCACCCCTCTGAATGATACAGTTGGGGGGAAAAGTACATAGTTGTAATCTGTTATCTGTACATTGTAGATTTCCTTGGGGTTACTAAACTATCATGAAGAAAAAATAAACCCCGAACAACTAACTAATATGTTCTATAACTAGCACTTCAGTTCAGAAGTTAGTTTGAAGAATGTTTCTGTACTGCAAGGAATCGTCAGACCACCCATAGGATGATTGAATCCGAACTCTTCTTCAGCGCGTTGTAGCAAGTTTTGGAATGTAGGGTGCCTTAAGTAAGAAAGCGGCACCACATATTTCTTCTGATCACCTTGCTGTCCAACATATACTGGGATGTACCCCTTTGGTACCACTTGCTGATTTTTGGCAAGAACTTGCTTTGCCTTAGAGAGCACGGAAGGGAATCGAATAGCCATGTCGTTGAAAGGAAATCGTGCAAGAGCGAAAATTAGAGAGGTGTAAAAAAGTTGGTTGAATTTGAGTTTTTTGCTAGAGAAGGTTTTGAGCTGAGTTTGATGCAATGGCAAACACTTAGGTAGGCTATTTATACTAAGGCAAAATTCGTACATTTTCGTAGTGATTTAGAGAGAATTAGTGTAAATAGACATGAATGACCCACCTCATTAAGGGCTATCACATGGCTTTGTTTCTTAGCTTCTCAATACAAAAACTTTCCCCTCCTTTCTCATCTGTCCTTCTCTCCGTCGGTTTGCGTTTTCGTGCCATCTGATCATTACTCATATCTATCTTTAATTTCCGTGGCTCTTCTTTGTTGATCTGTAAGCCTGCTAATTAATTATAAGCTAAAGAAGTAAACAAGCCCATGTGAAGTTCATATACTTAGTGTACCATAGGACCCCAGATGCTTGTACTTGTATTCCTTTCCTATTAGGTTGTGACTCATCTATTAAAGTGTTGTCTCAATTTACATTTTATAGCTGTACTTAATCAATCAAAAACAGTATGTTTAGTATACAGTTTTCATAACAACCTGTGTGTCATTCATCATCCACTATTTTCTAGCAGGATTGACCTTGTAGACGAACTGTCGGAATTAATGCGTAGCTTTAGCTAGGATAAATATATATGTTGCATTCTTTGATGTTTCCATATGTCTGGTTTATATATATGTGATACATTGATACATATATAGTTTCCTATCAGTCATCACATAACTCATTGACTAGAAAAGTGCCTGGAAATGATTCTGGGTTGACATGGCGAAAATGATTGTTCGTTTAGAATGTCATGACAATAGAAAATAGTGTATTTGGGGATGTTGATAATGTCTGAAGTTGAACTTTCTGTTTACAAATCCGTCCCCTACGTAGTGTATTATACACAGCTACACACATGGATTGTTATCACATTATATGAGCGTACATGCAATTAACTTGAATGCATAAATAAACACACTTCTCAAAAGTAAACTTCATTTTGTTGTTAAAAGGATTCAAATTTCAATTTCAACTTGTACAAAAATTGAAATCTATACTAATATAGCATACATGAATAGATCATAGATGTGGTTTACAGGCTGAAGTTGATCCTAACAGAAAGATGATGAAGGTGGTTTAATTTATGGGCTAAGTTGATTGTACAACATGTTGCTTTTGAGATGGATAATCCATCAGAATAGTGTCTTGCAAGTACTGCATATATCTCCAGGGTCCTAGTGCTCTACTGGAAGCTCTGTCGGTCACTGCTTCAAAATGATATCCAACATTTCCATGTGGTCGAATGTACGTACAAGGACCTAGATGCTAAGGAACTACTATACTCTTATATTGCTTGATGATAGATGATGCGTTATGTATGTTACTTGGACACTCTTCCTTCTGAAACGAGGATCCTGTGTTCGCCTCACAAAATCCTGTATCCTATATGTCCAAAAATATTACATAAATACACATGGAACTTCTTAAAAGCCTTATTTTAACCCTCATATATATTTGCCCAAGTATCTTGGCATAGTTTGAACTCTCCTATCCCTTTCATGAATGCTTCATTTTCTTAACTGACCTTAATGAATAAGAAACGCTTATATACCATTATCGCTTGATCTTATTTATGCTCATTTTTCAATAAGCTCATTTTTCAATTCTATGCTTACTAAGTTACAACTTTTTTTTTCTATCATGGTTCTCGTTTGTGTTGGTCGTATTTAGTCTCAAGTTCACTCAATCAGAGGTATCGGAAATTTAGAAACTACAGAACTGTTACAGAACCATGAGGAATGACAGTACAGAAATCTGATAAACTGAAAATAATTGAGAGGTAAACAATGATAATCCAAAATTCGAGTCTTTGAAAATATATGAAGTAAGAGCCACCCCTCTGAATGATACAGATGGGGGGAAAAGTACATTGTATTCTATACAGTGTTAATTTGTGCAGGGTTGATAGACATCTTTACGAAAAAAAACCCCAAAAAAAAGAATCTAAGTCAATGAAACATTATTGTTTGTTCTTCACATTGGTCCATTAGCACTTCAATTCAGAAGTTAGTTTGAAGAACGTCTCTGTAGTGCAAGGAATTGTCAAACAACCCATAGGATGATCAAAGCCGAACTCTTCTTCAGCACGTTGTAGTAAGTGTTGGAATGTAGGGTGGCTTAAGTATGAAAGTGGCACTACATATCTCTTCTTATCAGCCTGCTCTCCTACGTAAACTGGTACGTGTCCCTTTGGGACGACTTGCTGATTTCTTGCAAGAATTTGCTTTGCATGAGAAACCACGGAAGCCAAACGAATAGCCATATGTATTGTTGGGAGTAAACCGTGCAAGAGAGGAAAATAGAGTGATCGATGTAAGAAGTTGAGATCGAGGAATTGAATATGATTTTGATTGCAAGAGATGGTTTTGAGTGTGATGCAATTCCAAAGGTTTTGGTAGCTATTTATAGTAGGTGAATTGCCAATGTTACTTAGAGATCTAGGGATTTTGTGGACGAAAATTTAATTTATGACCCACATAATTAAGGCTCTCACATGGCTTTGTAAACTTAGCTTCTCGATCTATTATCTATTTAATCATGGCAACATACCCATGTGAATTGGTATATACTAGGGTAACATCATGACCCAAATGCTTATTAAGGTATGATTCATTTTGATCAACTCGTAGCCTCACCTACATCGCGTTATCTTATAGTTGTACTTAATTATATCAGACAATATCTTTAATGTAGTTTCCATAACCTGTAACCACTTGTATTTTGACTGAAAAATTGAAGGAAGCTACCTATGTGTCATTGTTGGACTACTTAAATGGTACTAGTTTTGACCTTGGACTCGAAATTGAAGCTTCGATCAGCTTGTGTATTGTGATAAATGATTTTGCATTCTATAGAACAAGTCAAGTATGTATATGATAACTCGTCTGAGCCAGTCAACATATATTTCTTTCCATGTGTCTGGTTGGTAGTTGCACATTACATTGCTCGTTAACAAGGAAAGCACCTGCAAAAAGTCCTAATGAAGATGACTTGGCAACTATTCGATTGACAGTGCTATTGACATGTGTTCATTAGGAGAATGAACAGATGAGATGAACTAAGTGATGATATAATATTAAGATTAGCTGTTAGATTTTGACTGGCTTGCTAATAAGTCGATCATAAAAATGACGAGTGCTCTGTCGTTCGAGAATGTGATTGATCATCCTTGCCATCATTCTGCATAAACATTAATGGACAAGTATACGGTGTGTAAAGTGTAATGTATGTCTTAGAGATGGTGAAGTTCTTATCGTAACCATAGAATACGACCCTAATTGAAATGCATACATTTGTCTCATACACTATGGGGATGGTGAGAAGAGATATATTTTACATCCCAGAGGGGCTATAATTGGAGATACCATTGTTTCTGGTACAGAAGTTCCTATAAAAATGGGAAATGCCCTACCTTTGACCGATATGCCCTTAGGCACGGCCATACATAACATAGAAATCACACTTGGAAGGGGTGGACAATTAGCTAGAGCAGCGGGTGCTGTAGCGAAACTGATTGCAAAAGAAGGGAAATCGGCCACATTAAAATCACTTGGGAGGTCCGTTTGATATCCAAAAACTGCTCAGCAACAGTTGGACAAGTGGGGAATGTTGGAGTGAACCAGAAAAGGTTGGGTAGAGCCGGATCTAAGCGTTGGCTAGGTAAGCGTCCTGTAGTAAGAGGAGTAGATATGAACCCTGTAGACCATCCCCATGGGGGTGGTGAATGGAGGGCCTATGTTCAAAAAACAGCAAACTTCAATATAATTTTAACATCTTTTTCTTCAAATATTATGGACTTTGGAATAACATGAATATAGTATATTTTGTAACCAGTCCTTTTGTACTTAATTGGTACATATATACTAGGCCAATCAGAAGACTGTTTGATGTTTAGCAAGTTCCCTTAATCTCGATCTGCTTGAATAGTGGAATTATCATTGTGATAGACAGAAAGCTGAGAAATTTAAGTAAAAAGAGTCGAAGGTTTCCTTGCTGCATGGAATTATGGTTAGGCCCTCTGAACTCAAAATCTTCTGCAGCTTGACGAAGCAAATCTTGAATCGAGTTTTTGGTAAGAAGGTTGCATAAAGAAAGATAGTATTGAAATCAGATATGTGACCTGTTTATACCAGGGTGATAGTATAGTACCTTTTTTTTGAAAAAACATTAGTATAGTATTTAGAGTATGTTAAAATTGTATTCTTTCTATAATTGTTATTGTCATATTCTGCCAATTAATTCAATTGTATCATAATTGTAATTGCTGCTGGACATTCAATTAGAACCACTAAGAAGCTGAAATCAAGGCAAGAAAAAATAATCTGAAAGTTGAGTCAATGGATTTATAGTTGTATACCACCCCACTGAATGATGCAGATGGGGGGAAAAGTTACATCAATCTGTACAGTTCTATGGTTATCGAAAAATAAATTACAAAAGTCACAGCAATGGAGCTGTAAGTGAAAAATCAATGTGATCCTAATCTTGTTCTATTAGCATCTAAGTTCGGAAGTAAGGTTGAAGAATGTTTCTTCGGTGCAAGGAATAGTGAGTGCACCCATGGGATGATTGAACCCAAACTCTTCTTCAGCACGTTGTAGCAAGTCTTGGAATGCGGGGTGGCTCAAGTAAGATAGTGGCACCACATATCTCTTCTTATCAGCTTGCTCTCCCACATACACTGGGATGTGCCCCTTTGGAACTACTTGTTGGTTTTTTGTACGCATTTGCTTTGAACTAGAGAGTACAGAAGGGAAACGGATTGCCATTTTAATTTGTCAGGAATTGAAATCGTGTATGAGAGAAAATGGAAGAGATGTGAAACTTGAGAGGATTTTATGAGGCTTTCACAAAAAGAGGAGTTTTGAGTGTGATGATGCAATTGTTAAGGCTAAGGAAGGTATTTTTAACAGAGGAATTACCGCGTTTCCATGGAGCTGATAGAGGAAAATTGGGATATTCTAGTCTAAGACTGACTCGCTGAATGGACTTACCGTCAATCACATGGCTTTGTTTTCTTAGCATTGCAAATTGCAAAGCCACTCTCTTGTTTGGCCTACATGTTGCATTTGAGGGGGATGCTCCACCTGAACGGCGTGAGGGGTTATGTCAGACTAGTCCTACAAGTACCGGGACTATATATTTCCTGGGTCTTATTAGAAACTGTCTTATTCAACACTAATAAAGTAGAGGGTGTGGGATATGTCCTTGCAAGTGCAAGCACTACGTATATTTGAGGACCCCAATGCTAATAAGGTTTTACTTCAAGTTGCTGGTGTGACTTGTTTTGATTCGGTGAATTGTTGCCTCTGTATGTGATTATATTGCTTGACGATGTTGTTTGTCTTATGTTACTCGGACTCTCTTTGTTATGGTTCAAGGAGTTCACATTTGACTTTCCATCATGCCGAGAATATAAAAACATTTGAAAAAAATTAAAACAACATATGGAACTTTAGATGTATGAAGTTCAAATATGTAGGTTTAACTTTGATAGTGCTATTGACATATTTCATGTTAGAATGTTATTATCTAGTTATTAAGATGCTCTGACTCTGATTCCTGACAGGCAAGAGGACATATTCTGTACTTTCATCGACAAGTAAGGATGAGGTGATCTGAAGCTATACCAGATTGACTCCGCGGAAATGGATTGACTGAGTACTCAGGGATGACATATGTATAAAATATTCCGTATCTCTAAAAGTGTTTTGGTGGATCATATTCTGGTAATGTGTATAAGAATTCATTCTTTGGTCCTATGTCAAAAAAAGTGCAGGATTTATGGTATATTTGTTGCCTTCATCAGTTAAATGGTTAAGTTGAAAGTAACATAACCAGAAGAGGGTCAATGGTTGATGGTTTCATAAACAGAGAACAGGCACATTCTTGTATGCTACAAATATATATATATATATATATATATATATATATATATATATATATATATATATATATATATATATATATATATATATATGTTTTAGCTAGTTTGCGATTCATGATAATCGAATACTTATATCAGTACATTACTCGTAAATTATCAGAAACTGGAGAATTGTTGCAGGACTATGAAGAAAGACAATGCAGATATCTGACAAGCTAAAAAAATGAACAGAAAACTAAGACAATTGTCATAAAAAATTTGTTTCCATAGAAAATATATTGAAAACCACCCTTCTGAATTATGCAGAAGGGGGAAAAAGATACATTAGATGTACAGTGTTAATTTGTTATAGGTCAACACATTTTCTGAGAAAACAAGCCTAAAAAATAGAATGTAACTATATTGCTAGCTATTCTTCATGTCATTCTGTTTATTATCAGCGCTTCAATTCAGCAGTCAGTTTAAAGAATGTTTCTGGAGTGCAAGGAATTGTCAGACCGCCCATAGGATGATGGAAGCCGAACTCTTCTTCAGCACGCCGTAGCAAGTCTTGAAAGGCAGGGTGGTTTAGGTAACAAACCGGCACCACATATCTCTTCTTATCAGCTTGCTTTCCTACATAAACTGGGATGTGCCCTTTTGGGACTACCTGCTGACTTTTGTTAAGAATTTGCTTTGCGTTAGAGAGTACTGAAGTAATGCGAATAGCCATCCTTGCGATGAGATTGTGCAAAAGAGTGAAGAATGCAGAGAGAGAGGTCGGAACTTAGGAAAAAATAAATGGGATTTTTGTAAAAGAAGAGCTTTGAGTATAATGCAATTCAAAGGATTCAGTAGCTATTTATAATCTGTGGATAGAGAGAGGTCGGAACTTGGGAGGAAATGAAATTTAGTAAACGAGAAGTTTTGATTAATAATGCAATTTTAAAGGCTTCAACAACCATTTATATAATGGTTGAGTACTAATAATATCCGTGTTTCATTAGACATTCGGATAATTATTATTGATGGATGGAAATGGATGAGGATGACCTACCTAATCAAGGTTCTCACATGGTTTTGTTCTCTAAGCTTATTGAGGCCTTGATTTTGAGAGTGCTGATGTCCTCTTATCTACTAGTTCCGTGACTTCTATATAATCCGGTCAATTCCAATGCTTGTAAATTGCTGATGTACCCTTATCTATTTGTTCCGTGACTCCTATTAGTTGCTGTATCATTGCCAATGCTTGCAACTTGTACGTTAACCTTGAGAGTGCTGATGTACACTTATCTGATCTATTTGTGCCGTGACATGTATGTACTCTTATTATTTGCTATTTATTGCTAATGCTTGCAACTTGTATGTTAGGCAACATACCCATGTGACTGGCTTATACCACTGCTAGTGAACATCAGGACCCGGATGGGTCGCCTCACCAACAATAATGCGCCTTTATCTCACAGTTGTACTCAATAAGAAGTTCAGACAATATGTTTATTACAGCTTCCATGTATTACCTATCTGTCCGTGTTGGTCTCCTACTGTTGTACTACCTCAGTCTTGTATATTGAATGTGTAGCTTCAGCTTGGCTGTATAATTGGATATATGTTCTTCACGTTACATAATGTTAATGCGAGTCAACATAAACTTGATGTGTATCACGACGTTTCTTATTGATAATCAGGAAAGTTCCTAGAAATGGTTCGATTAATTTTTCTAGTTTTATCAGGCCGGTGTGACTTATTGACTTAAGTGTAAGTTCTAAGGAATTTGATTGATGAGCATTCTTAGCCTCTCTGAACCTGACCACAGTCATGGACATACTCGATAACCTGATCACTGATTGCGAAAGAAATCAACATTTCAAGTTAATCTTAAGTGACACACTTGGTTAGAAGACTAGCTAGGTGGATTTGATGTATAATGAGCTTCTCAGTGAATCATGATCAGTTAAAACAACAATGCGTTAGGTACGGAGAGAGTGTTATATCAGTAACTAATTATTTGTCACTTGTAATTTTAATCACTGCAATTGCTTCACCTATCTTACGAAGTTATTAGTTTGCTAAAATAGCATAGACAGCTTCATATATTGAGAAAATATCCATTCTTTCTTGCCTATAAAAAAATTGTTTTATCCTAGTTTGGCATTGGTGTTGTTCAAAGTACATTTTCGCGATCAGTTTGAAATCAAGTATCAGGAACGGGTGAACTGTGTGCTGTACTGCTGTGGCTAGGCCGGAGTATGAATATGAAGTTATTATGAACATCACATAAATCTGACAAACTAATAAAAATCTGAAAAGCAAGGCAATTGTGATCTAAAAAATGATTCCATTAAAAAATATCGAGAACCACCCTTCTGAATCATGCAGATGGGGGAAAAAGTACATCAGCACTATATATACAGTGTTAGTTTGTCAAGGGTCAATAAACATCTTTACAGAATAAAAACCCGAAAAATTAATGTTGCAAGTAATCTGAAACGTTGCTGATTGTTGTTCTTGGCATCGTTCTGTTAGCAATTTAGTTCTGAAGTTAGCTCGAAGAATGTTTCTTCAGAGCAAGGAATCGTCAGACCGCCCATAGGATGATTAAACCCGAACTCTTGTTCAGCACAGTGTAGCATACATTGGAATGCAGGGTGACTTAAGAAAGAAAGCGGCACCACATATCTCTTTTTGTTTACTTGATCACCCACATAAACTGGGATGTACCCTTTTGGTACTACTGATTGCTGTTTTCTACTAAGAATTTGCTTTGCACTAGCGAGCACAGAAGGGAATCGAATAGCCATCTTTGTTATAAAATCACTCGAAACAGAGAAGGAAGCTTATTAGCTAAGAGATGTATATATGTTTAGTGTTTGTAAGAATTGGATTTCGAGTTTGATGAAAATGCTAAGGCTAATGTAGCTATATATACTATAAGGTGAATCGAGGCGAATCCTTACTGTGTTGGATAAAGATTTTGTAGATGTAATGAATGACCCATCTAATTAAGGCTTTCACATGGTTTTGCCTTGTTAGCTTCTCAATACCACAATCTTGAAAATGCTTGTGAACTATAAGCAAAACAAGGCCATGTGAAGACATGCACATACCAAATAAACATAAGGCCCCAAATGTTAACTAATGGATCACTTATTTTAATTAAGTTGATGTCTTATCTACCATTCTATCTTAATGGTGTATATATTTGATCATTTTAATATGTTATTATACTATCTTGTTGTCGATTCGTCGGCGCCTCGTCGGTCCACTAATGTTATACGGACAATTAGATATATGTTTTGTATAACTTCTTCCAAAACAAGTCATATATATGTATGAATATTTGAATATTATCCTTTCATTTGCATAGTTAATATATAGATGGTTATCAAATTGCTTATTGACAAGGAAAATGTCTGGAAAAGGTTTCGTTTTATTTGAATTGACGACAAATTTATTGTCTGTATAATAAGAATGTCACTAAGAGAAGAAAGGGATAGTCAAAGAAGATGATAGATCATACAAGTGTGGTGGGGTGTTGTTTAATCTAATTTAGTATTTTTATAGCAGCCTCGCAGGACAGCCAATAGTATAATTGACTAAGAGTAATTGATGATTTCGGATTTACTAGCAAATATCTAGTTAGAGTGACATTGTTTAGAAAGATGCCAAATGGATCGTTCAACTCGTGTTTTGTTCAAGTCAAATCAATATGAGTCTTGTAGGTTATATATGAGTCGCTCATTTTAGTCTTGGGCCTCTTGGCCGATAACATAGGTCGAAAATGGCATAAATGTACTCCCCTATAACTTAACTAAACCAATTTCGGTAGATTTTGAGTTTTTAGTTAATTGTGGGGGGTATATGAACAACATTTGGGTACTAGATACATCATGTTAGTCATTACGATTATGTGGTTATCTTTCATAAACAACAATTGAACACATCAGGCGATTTTTAAAACACAAGAATACCTAGTATGCTCGTGAAAGTTCATGAATACATGGTGCAAAATCACCTCTAAAAAAAGGAAACTTGGAAAATAAACTTTTTTGTACTTGTTCGATAGGAGTTGGACTTATCATCTTGTAAGGTAAACGTGATTGGATGTAACATGTAAAAGAGAGGACAAGAGTAGTGTACCTCAGACTGTACTGCTATTTAGCATATTTAAGTGCTTTCGTCATGTGAATTAACGCTAATAATCACTCGCATGTTATACTTCATGTGGTACTCCCCGACGCTATGATTCCAACCATATATTTCAACCAATTAAATGAAAAGTCACGCTTTTATTAGTACTTTCTCCGTTCTTTATTAACTGAATTAACTACTGTACTGTACAGTGGTGAAACAATAATAGAGATAATGCTTGAGTATGAAAAGAGAGAAAAAAATATAGAAAAAAAACCATGTGACGGTTGAAGCCTCCGGGTTTAATTTTTATCACGTCCCTTCATACGAGAGTATATTAAATATAAAGTATGGATGGATCTCCTCATACATAGCACTAAATATTCCACTTTAAATTGGTGAGATTTGAGATTGTGACCTTGTTACGCTAGTTCTTAATGCTTGTTATTCGTTGAGAGGTCTTTTTGGTTTTCTAGATTTAAAATATGATCTCGTCATTCTTCCTACATCTTCATGACTTAGAGGTGGGGCAAGTGGTGGATGCTTGCAGAACTGGCCAAGTATTCGCTCAGATCACCTTGGGGATGATAATATGTTAGGATGAACTCAACCAAAAGTTTATATGGTTGAAACTTTGTGATTGGTTATTATATTCCATCACACATTACCAAAAATAGGTACATAGTAATTACATAGAGTATGCTAGTTAACATCACAAAAGGGTAATTTTTATGTGATTTAGAGTGATGACAACTTTAAAATTTACAGTTACTATCATTGCATAATAGAAGTGTGCTACGAATCGGAGCATATACTTCTTTAAAAATGTTATCAATCCAATGCAATAATTCTATTTTTAACTTTGACTATGTTGCTTAAAGTGCTGACTTCTCTTAATGAAGATATAGTTGTCTAATTTTATACATTCACAATTAATGTAACTTAGTCAATTAACAATCCATCAACTGTAAACCATCAATTTAATGTCATAAGATATTGCTCTACTATTTATCTATCTCTTCGTAAGTGAATGAAAAATATAGAAGATGAAACCAAATTAAATGATGAATATATTTTCAGTTTGTACATACTTAGCATTACTCTAAAAACAAAAGATTATATAATTAGCATTTCATTAATCAATAATCATCAACCCACTTAATGCATGAAGTGGGGTAAAAAATATACACAAGAAGCTTATTTCTTGTTGTGCTACTACTTGAGCACACAAGAAGCAGAAATAACCAAGAAGTGTAAAAAAAAACACCAGAAAACATAAAAAGGTCACTTCAGCATAAGTTCAAAGTTGAATTAATCTGTGAATATTTCTCTTATTTTTCGTAAATAATTTCATGTAATTATTCATTCGACTAGTAGCTCAATCGTGCAGTGAGATCGTTGAAGATTTGCTCACTGCACGGAATGGTAAGGCCGCCCATCGGATGATTGTACTCGAACTCTTCTTCAGCTCGGCGAAGCAAGTCTAGGAAAGAAGGGTGTCTAAGGAAAGACAAGGGCACTACATGCCTCTTCATTTCTTCGTCGCCTACGTAAACTGCAATGTGGCCTTTTGGAACTGATTTTTGCTGGTTTCTATTGAAGGATGAATGAAGTTTAAGGATTTGCTTTGTGTTTGAGATCATATTATGGAATCTAAAACCCATGTTTGTTTTTTGTAATATAAAACCTTTTTTTTTTTTTTTTTTTTTTTTTAGAAAAACAAGCTAAGTTTGATAAATGAGTGTTTTATATGAATGGCTATATATAAACACTATATAATAGTATAACAATACCATTGGTCTAGCCAACAGAAAACTGATTTTCTTACTCATTAATGTCATAAAAAAAAACCATATAAACCAAAGTTCACATGGCTTTTAGTGCAATTGACAACCATATAAGCAAAAGTGGCCTACATTGTATTTTTTGCAAAATTAATGATTGTTCAAATTTATGAAATGCCGAGTTTTTTCATCAATGAGGTGCAGTTTGTTGTCAGTTAAAAGCTTAATACAATAAAAAAATAAAAAAAATAATAAAAAAAATACTTAACTTCCAGCATAAAATTGTACAATACGGTCATACGGACCCATTTGTTTGGCAAGTTGATTAGGACTAAACTGATCTCATCTAAATGAAGGAATGATTATACTTCTCATGGTCGGTGATCACTGTCTTTTTATGGTTTATTACCGTATTTGAAAATGAGCATATATCGCGTTGGTTTATCCAAAATCTAGATCAAATCTTATCTTAAAACGTCAATTTTTTCATTTACAACTTTCTCCTTTATTTCTTCTTAATTCAATGCCACTAAGGGGTTTTATATGACCAATTAATGGTCATATATGGTACCACACAACATTATATGATCACATTATTCATCCTCCTACAATGTTGAGATTTTTCAATATCAGGTCTCAAAATCTTTGAAATTGGCCTGATTTTGTGTATATTAGCCTTCAAATTTAGACAATTTTGGACTTTTTTAAATCCCGAAAGGGACTTTTTCAAACCCAAAAAAAAAAGTGGTCAGAATTCTTCCTATACACCCCACAACGCCTCAAGAGACCATTTGGGTAGTTAAAATCATCCACTTGCCTTTAAACAACCTATTTTGCCATTTTCATACACGAGTTCCTTAAGTAACTCAAGGCTACCACAGGCCTATACATGACCAAGCAGTAGCAGTGGTCATATATACTTCCAAATATCATTATATGTTCCTGGGATGTACACTCTATGATCCCAAAAAAATTTTATACCGAGTCTTGATATCTTCAAAATTGAACCAAAAACGTAGATTATTATCCTTAGGGGCCGTTTGGTTTGCACGGGGTAAACGGAATGGAATGAACAAAGGGAATGAAATGGAATGGAATGAAAATCCCTCAAATGTAGTATGTTGTTTGGTTGTAAAAAAAACAATGGGAATCACTAGATTCACCACCACCACACCTACACACCCTCACTTTCTTCACCGACGGAACCCTAACCCCCATCCCTACCCCTCGCCACCCATCCCTAACCCCTCGTCGCTCAGACCTAACCCCTTTAACTACACGGTGGTCGACTTAGAAGGGCTTCTAGGGTCGGGGTGGCATTTTCGAGGAAAGGTAGTGGCGTTTTCAAGGGCTATGCGTGGGTGTGGGGAAGGTTTTCCGGGGAGGGAAGGTAGTTTCAGGGGGGCGAAGGGTTAGGGAGGGGCGGCGAGTTCCGGCGAAGGGTTAGGGAGGGGCGGTGACTGGGGCGATGTGGGGATGGCCGGGATTAGAGAATTTTTTCGAGAGAGTTGAGGGGATGGCCGGCGAGGGTGGAGGAGGCACGGCGAAGGGTAGGCGATGGTGCAGTTTCCGGTGATGTGGGTAGGTAGGAGGGTGGTGGTATGGTGGTGTGGTTGTAGCCAAGGAATGGAATGGAAATACCTTGGGTGGGTGAGGAATGAATTTGGAGGGATTTGGGGGAATGAAGAGGGTAATGGGAATTGAAAAAGTGGCCTAACAAACAACAACAAAGGGAATGATTCACGTTGATTTTTATTCCCTTTGTTAAATACCCCCAACCAAACAGCCCCTTAGTTTAAACAATTTTTGGATTCAATAAGGAAAGAAGTTGAGGTGATTCCACTTTCTCATAAATCCCACAACACGCTATTTGAATGGATAGAATAGTCTACTTTTCTTTTTAACAGTTTCCACGTATATAGAATACAGTACTCTTAGGGAGTATATTAATTCAGAAAGATGTACGGTCGCACAGGGAATTTTAGGACAAGTACAATGTACTCTGGCTGTCCTATCACTATATTACAGATTTACAGGCCGGGTGCCGCATTCTCAACTAAAATATGGTATAGTGTACTCCCGGTAGTAGTGGAGATTCATGACTAAGAATAGGTTGAGTTTTCAAAGTAGTTTTACAATAAAATAATGAATTGCCCATTGTTTTATTTGTGCATGTAGAGTGGTCCATGTTTGCAGTAATTTCTGGTTTTTAAGTTTGTAATTTTGCAAGAAAACCCCTAACTATTCAACTAATGATATTTTCACAAGTATTTTAGAGTAAATGGCGGTCTTGAAGTTATAATAATACCTGAAGTATGTTTGACAATCTATTCTGCAAGCAAAATTTTAATAAATTCGAACGAGGCTAATACTCCCTCAGTTTTACAATGATGTTTCTAAGGGGGCTAAGAAACGATCATATATGTGATAAGTACTACGGAGTACATCATACAGAGTAGAAGATGTTTTGAAAAAAGTGCTTGAAAAAGCCTTGGAGTTGCTCTAGACAATCAAATAACTCTTCCAAAACTCCTTTTTAATACAAGTAGTACAGATATCAAAAGACATTTCAATCAAGTGTGTACAAACACAAAAACACCAAACAGAAGGGAAAAAACAGCAGGAAAATTGTACAACCAAAAATTAATCATAAAGTACCAAACAACATCATTTGCAAAACTCCCCAAAATGCTGTCAAATATGTGTAATTTGAACCTGCTCAGGAAGATCTTCAGGAATCTTTGTCAATCGTTCACAAATTCGTACCTCCAAGTACTTAAGATTCGGCATGGCACCATGTTCGACGTTCAACTCGTGTAAACTTTTAAGGCCATGAAGCCTCAAGTAAGTAAGCTGAGGGAAACCCGAAGCAGAGCAAATCATCTTTTGCCCTACATAAGCTTGGTGATCAAGGCAAAGGCTTGTTAAATTAGGAAGCTTTTCTAGGACCGGCATTGGGTCTTGCATAATCCCACAAAAATCTAAGACCAACTTCTTCAAATTCGGAGGAAATTTGAGGTCATGTATTGGTACTGATACCTCTCCTTTTAGCTCAAGTTTGATCAAGTTAGCAAAACTTATTAACGCGTTTACATGCTCTTTGCCAATTATAGCTCTAAAGATAGTAAGGCTAAACACAACCTTAGGAGATTTCTGAATGAATTCAATGTGCTCGTTCTCAAGCATGTATCGAACTGAGGCTTTTCTTAGTTTTTTCATCGAAAGCACATCTTCGAGTAAGAAATGGTTCACATTCTTCAGTGTTAGTAAGTTCTTCAAGTTATCCAATCTCAACTTCTCAGAATCTTTGATAGTGAAATAGCAAGGTAGGTATAGATTTCTTAGCCTTTCGAGACACCATAAAACATTAGGTATCTCGAGCCTTACCTTAGCTCTTAAATCAAGTGTTTCGAGCCACCTTAGACAACCTATTGTTGGTGGTATTTTTGTAAGAAGCATATCCCTCAAGCTTAAGTACCTCAAAAAAATAAAGTCCCCAATTTCCTTAGGCAAAGTCTTAGAACTTACTACAACTCCTTCAAGATCTAAGACGCGAATCAATTGAGACTCTCGACAAAGGACTTTAACCGATGCATGATTTACTTCCGGTCTCTCTTTTTGAGAAGGGAACAACAAAAGAGACCTAAGAACAGGATTTTTCTGGGGAAGTACAATCTGATCCTTACCTTCTTGTCCCAAGTATATAGCCAATCGGCGTGTTTTTCCATTTAGCACTAGTTCCTTAGAATCAAAGTCCAATATGCTTAGGAAATTTTCATCTTTGAACACTCTTAAGCATAATTCTCTCATAAGAGCATGTAATTTACAAGATTTTACACTACCATTTGATGTTTTCCTTTTCCATACTTGAACCAAACCTCTTTGCATCAACTCACTTAAGCAATTTTCAGCAAAATCATCCAATGATTCTCCCCTAGAAACTTCGCCATTTGCTAACACCGCGATGCCTTCAGCTACCCACATGTTGCACAATTTCTTATTAGGTACTTCAAAATCTTTTGGAAAGCCACCTAAATGGAGCAAGCAATTTTTGAGGTAATATGGTAAAGCATAGTAGCATATTTCCATAACTTTTTCATACGATTGTTGTTGGTTATTCTTCCCATTTTCGTGAGAACTCATGAAACCGAGAAGGGTTTCCCACTCTTCTGGTGTTTTCTTGGTCACCAAAAGACCTCCAAGTGCAATAATTGCCAGTGGAATTCCTTGGCAGAATTTCAACATTTTCTTCGCCATATCCATCCCCTTTGGAGAACCTACATTGCAGTGCAAGATTTATTGATCAATAATACAGTTTTAGAACGCCACAAACCTAAGAAATCTACATTAGGAATGAAACCAAATTCTGCCAACTATAAGCAGTGAGACTATATCTTGCAATGCATGAACATAAAATCAAAAATGCATTAGTAATTAAAACTAATCCCCTGTTTTCCTATGTACATGTACACGTATGGGTGATTGAGGATTGAGATTAACCCCAGAGATCGATAAATTAACTATTATGAAACTTGTACACATCAACCTATTAGGCTTTTAGTTCTTATTAATCATATCGAATAAGCTATAAGATTTTGATGACCTTATACGTGCTAATAAGCACCCAAAAAAATTCAATATAGACATACAAGATGAAGGGTCTAATACCAATTTACCATACATCAATACTCGATGAATTGGGGATTAGAAGAAAGTAAAGAAACTAAAATTGAAGTGTAAATGAATGTATATATAAATGTGAAGTAAACAAAATGTACCATTGTTTCCAAAGATTTGTGGTGGAATACGACCCAATTTGGATTGAAGAAGCTCCCAACTTTCATCATAACTTAAACATCTGATCTCATGAACTATTGCTCTCTCATGTATTTGCTCAGCCACCAGCATATTTTCTGTAGTGAACAAAAATTTGCTTTCGGAATCTTTGTCGTCGTCTCCAGGAAATGCTGCTTTTATACCATCCCAAATATCACAACTTCTTAAATTATCTAAGATCACCAAACACTTCTTTTCAAGCAAAATTTCATAGAGCTCCTTAATTAAAACTTGATCAGTCATTAATCCAATCTCATCACTCGAATTCGTTGCAAGAGAGGTTAAAATCCCTCTTAGCACACCAGAAATTGTGCAATTCTGAGGCACATAAACCCAAGAAAACCTGTTAAAATGTTTCTTAATCACATGATTAAAGAAAACTTTCCTAGCCAAAGTAGTCTTTCCTACACCACTTTTTCCAACTATGCCAAAAACTCTGTTTTCCCCAGTCTTTCAAACCAAATCACCCACAATTTTCTTCACTTGATCATCCAAACAAATATATATTTTTCTTCCTTGACCACATCTAGTGAATACCCTCTAGACGTCGATATCTCAGTATCCGATCTTGTGATCTTGATACCGTAAGCTTGAAGCCTTGAAGTTAACGTAGCGATTTTAACTCTCAAAGCCTCGATAGCATTACTAGCATCATGAATTGCTTTAGCCTCCCCAAGAACCCATAAGTACCTTTCAAGCCTATTCTTGATCACAAAAGTTTTTCCTGCATACTCTTGCTTTTTATGACTTATGAGTTTAAAAAGAAAACTCTCAACAACTTCCTCAGCCTCATGCCCGATTTCTTGTATTTGAACAACCCACCTACTAACCCTTGGATCAACATATCGACATGCATCAGCTTCCCTCAAGAAGCAATGCATCCAATCGAGCTTGTCTCTAAGCTGCTCCACCTTTTCTTTTATCGATACTAGATTTTCTTCTTCCTCGACGAGAAGATTTCCTAGCCGTTGCACGGCTGATTGAACAGAAGACTCTGCCATTGATGCAGGGAAAATCTTATTCTTCTGTTACATATTTTGTTTGAAATTTTTGTAAACATTTTTTCTAAAGAATTTGTGATTAAGTCATGATGAATTTTCATGTTTGAAACATTCAATTAGCTCTAAGCTGGCAGACGGCCTTCGTTGAATTATTTACTCCTACTTGTAATTTGATTAGTAAGCTGATTAATTTTCTTGGTTAACGTGCAATGAACTCAATGTCAAATTACAAGCAAATACTGCAAACGTAACACCATTGAATGATGCAAATGGACTAACCAGTTTATTTTATTGATGATGTAGATGCTTAATTCATAGGCCATTAGCCTATATAGAAGCCCAATCAAATTGACAAGCACAAAATGATGGCCCATGTACAAATCTTCGTATTGAATTTTTTATACGTGGTATTATTTTTTTATTGTTTTATTTTAACTTTTTACATTGAGTGTTTAACACTATTTTTTTTCAAACATAGATTTTATGAATTATATCTAGACATACAGAATTACATATGCCAAGATCGAACAATTTCAGATTAATTTTTCAGTTTACTATTTCCATCCCGCTTCAATCATCACAAAAAATTTTACATCCATTGGTATACCTAGAATACAACTAATCAAGTTCAACAAAGTTAAAATGTTAGTCATCCTTATGTTAGGTGGAGTATCCCAATATACATATGTTAGTCATCCTCCTCTTATTTCTAAATATATTCGAAGTACCAGACAATATGTAAGATTGTCGATATAAAAAGAGTCATAAGAGAGAAATGAATTAGATGTGATTCGATTTCAAGTTTTGGGGGTTCTCATTTCCCAACTACTTATTTTGAAGTTATGATGTAGACCTTGTTCACTTCACCTTACAAAAAAATGATATTCAGTAAAAATAATTTCATTTCAATAAAAATAAGTTCAGCTTGGTAGAAATAATTTCAGTTCCCAGTTCAGTTAAATAAGTTCAGTTCAGTAAAAATTAGTAATTTCAAAGAAGAAATATAATAGACAATCTGTAAAATTAATTTCAATTCAATAAACATAATTTAAGTTCAACAAAAATAATTTCAGTTCAGTAAAAATAATTCCATTTCGGCAAAAATAAGGTGAAGTGAACAGGGCCGTTGAGAGAATTCTTATGACTACATCATACAATAATGAAGATTGTTGAAAGAGACATCGTTCAATTCCTTTACGTGATTTGTATTATTGACCTTAGAAATAATATACTACCTCCGTTAATTATTATGTAAATAAAGGAATATTATTTGTGAGATATAAAATATTTCTTTGTTGCACATAATAATTAACGGAGATAGTATTATTCTTCTGGCAACATATGCCTAATATCGACAAATTTGCTATAATTATTTTGATTTATCATATCTAATCTTGCTTTGCACAAAATATTATGATAATACCCCTAAAGCCAAGTAAATACAGTAGTAGTTCACTAGTTCCAACCTGCAATATAATAAGCAATGATTTTGAACTACTATAACTTTAATTCCAATCATCATAGTAATTAAAGAGAAAATTTTGAGGTATTGATTCCCCCATCTTCTCTAGCAAAATTAGAAAATTATTCTTCTTCTTCATCATTTTCATCTAAAAAAAATCATCCAACTTTATGTTGAACTCTTGTGAAGAAATTAGTCAAATTAAACTCATTTCTGAATGTTTTGTTACACCCAAAAATGAAGTTGAATCCTCGAATCAACCTCACTATTTAGGCCCGATTGATCTGGCCTTATTATCCTTAGACCAAATGCAAAAAGGTCTCCTTTTTCCTTCTAAACCCAAAAATATTAAATCTCATCTTTTAGACAAGTTCAAAAACTCATTGTCTATTTCCCTTGTTCATTTCTACCCTTTAGCTGGTCGATTAGCCACCCAAAAATTCCATGATGAACATGCCATCTGGGTGTACGTGGATGGTAGCAAGGGTCCTGGTGCTCGCCTCATCCACGCTTCTGTAGATGATCTACTTTGTTATGATCTGATCTCATCTAATGATGTCCATCCAATTGTCCGGTCATTTTTTGACCTTGGTGAGAAAGCGGTCAATCACGACGGTCATACAAGACCTCTTTTGTCAATTCAAGTAACCGAGCTTCTTGATGGAGTCTTCATTGGGTTTACAATGAACCACTCTATTGCTGATGGTACCTCATTATGGCATTTCATTTCTACCTTGTCCCAAATTTTCCTTCAATTGGATGACAATTATGATGGGCCTAAAGAAAATGCCATCATGTCCATCTCTCACAGGCCCATTTTCGAGCCCTTTTTTCCTGTTGGGTTTGGCCCAATTCTCAAGTTGCCTTTTCTTGAGCCCAATGAGTTCATAACTCCAAACATTGACATAGGTCCGTTAAGAGAGAAAATATTTGACTTCTCGTCCACTTCAATTTCAAAGATCAAAATCATGGCTAACCAAGAATGCGGACTAGGCCACCATACTATCTCTTCCTTCCAAGCCTTGTGTGCATTTCTATGGATATCCGTCACACGTGCTCGGAACTTGGAACCCGATCAAGAGACCACCTTCGGAGTGGCCATAAACTTCCGACCCAAAATCAACCCGCCATTGACCGGTGACTACTTTGGGGGGTTCATCAAAAGAGCCCATGGTACTTGCAATGTAGGAGAGCTTTTGGGCAAAGGTTTAGGTTGGGCTGCAACAATCATCCATGAACTTATTATTGGCCTAGATGATAAAGCGATACGTGCCTTTCTTAATAGGCTTATTGAGGCACCTTTTGTGGTTCAGCCCAATATGACTAGTGTGTACTATCAGCCCAATAGCTTGTTGATAGGCGGATCGACGAAATTCGATATGTATGGGCCTGAATTTGGGCTTGGTAAAGCAGTGGCTGTTTTAGCCGGGTATGGTAACAAAGAAGATGGGAAGGTGACTGCAAATCCAGGACGTGAAGGAGGTGGAAGTGTTGATTTAGAAGTGTGTCTTAGGCCAGAGACAATGAATGCTCTTGTATTAAATGAGGAGTTCATGAGTTTTGTCTCGTATATTTGAATTCAATTATTCATTGTTACTCCGCTGGCCATGAGAGCTGATACACATACAACACCATTAGAAATTTGATAAATCATTAAAAGAGAGGAGAAAACTAGGAGTCAAATATAAATTGAATTCAAATGGAACTTGGACCCATAATTCTAGCCATTAAAAACATGAAAAATTAAAGTTGTATGTAGGGACCACATATAACAATTATATTATTAATTAAAAGTATTTTTAATAAGAGTTGAGTAATTTCACATGTATAAATTACATTCTTTGTGGAGAAGCCATACTTTTATGGGGTAAAAAAAAAAAAAAAAAAAAAAAAAAATTGGCTAATTATAGAGGCATGTGAAAAAAAAATGTAGACATACTAACTAGTAACTAATCTAATGAAGATTTTCAATAATTGTATTGTTTGAAATATTATAATTTTCACATACTTATACGTTTTTTACTTTTTTTTGTAATTTATACATTAGAATACATTTAGTAATGTGAGATTACTCTATTCAATAGATTCCTCTAAAGTACTTTTGAATAAAATATCATTTTTTTGATAAATACTTATACTAACTTTTTTTTTTTTTAAGGATACTTGTACTTATTAAATATTAATGATATAATCTTGATATACTCCCTCGGTTTTTAAATACTTGCTCCGTTTCTCCACGCACGGAGTTTTAGGAGAAATTGGAGAAAGTAATAAAATATATAGGTAGTGGGGAGGTGGAAGAATAAAAAAAATGGTAAAAATCAAAAATAGTTGAGAGGATTGGAGGAGAGAGAATATAAAATTAATAAAATATGATTTATGTTGGGTCCACTAGTTGAAAAAATAAATTAAATATTGTAAAAGTTTTCCAAATAAAGAATTGGAACAATTATTTGAAAACGGCCGGAAAAAGAAAGTGAAGCAAGTATTTAAAAACGGATGAAGTAAGCATTTATTTATTTAATTATTGACAAGTTTTTGTATAATAGTAGTACATACTTCTCTATTCTCAATGAATGAGACATTGCAGCTTTATAGTGGAAGAGAAAAGTGTTTGTAATTTGTCATATACTCATATGTAATCAACACACTATTCAGAAGAAAATTGAGGACAATTCTAGAAATAAAGTAGTGAGATAAAAATTTAATAATTTAATTACTAATGTGGACATTTCTTTCTAACAAATACCATATTATAAAGAAAATTGACCTCTACTCTATATTCATTTTTATCTTAGCTAGCAAAAAATCAAATATGGAGGAAACAAATCATCAACAGATAAAAATTCTCTCAGAATTTTTTATCAAACCCAAATATGAAGTTGAAGCTTCAAAACAACCCCATTACTTAACCTCAGTTGATCTTATATTCTTATCTTTAGACCATATGCAAAAGGGTCTACTTTTCCATGCTAAACCACAAAACATACAATCTCAACTTTTAGACAAGCTCAAAATTTCATTATCTCATGCTCTTGTCTATTTCTACCCTTTAGCCGGTCAACTTGCTACTCAAAAGTTCCCTGATGAACATGCCATTTGGGTCTATGTCGATTGCACCACCGGTCCTGGAGCTCGTCTCATCCATGCCGTTGTCGATTTTTCAGTACACGATCTCCTATCCTCATGCGACATACATCCGGTTGTACCTTCCTTGTTTGATGTTGGTGAGAAGGCCGTAAATTATGATGGTCACATGAGGCCTTTGTTGTCGGGCCTTTGTTGTCGATCCAGGTGACCGAGTTAATTGACGGGGTTTTCATCGGTTTTACCATGTGTTTGGGTCCAATTTAGTCCAATTGGGCCTGGTCACTGAATGATCCAATTAAAAGCCCAAGGTTAAGGTTCAACTCTCCTATGTGCTAAAGTCAAAAATCAAACATCCTCAAAGCCATGTCAAGGTCAGTCAACGGCCCAATCAGCTTGGCCCAGCCCAACTGACTTCCGGGCCCAATCCGCCTCCTTCATTAGCCAAGGTATAAAAGCCAACAATTTGGTCAATTCTTGGTAAGACAATAAAGCCTCAAGCAACTAAACTCTTGCACAGCTTTCTCTCTCTAATATACTGACTTAAGCATCGGAGGGGCCTTCCTCGGCGTCCCCCCCGAGGCTAGTTTACGTGTATTTGTTGTGCAGGAAACCCTCGGCTCCTGCGTCGTTCGGACCGAGACCAAGTTCCCTCAAGATAAAAGGATCTTCCGAGATTCGATTGTTTTCATCCGAAACAATTTGGCGCCGTCTGTGGGGAACGCTACTAAATTTCGCGTCAGTCATCAAACACTCCGGCAGTCGCCATGACTAAGAGTGGAAAGAGTTCCAAGAAGGCTAAGAAGGGAGGAGGCCGGATTACGGTGAGGGAACGCCAGCCGGTTTATCCCTCCCCGGAGCAAGCCTCTCCCGAATCGGAGGCCCCCATTTCTCCGGAAAGGGAAGCCTCAAGAGGTCCTAGCCTCCAGGAGGAGAACACCTCGCACCACACTCGGCAGCCGGGGCCATCCCCGAGACCGAGTGGCTCAGGTGCGAGGAACTCCCCACCGCGCCATAGCGTGCAATCCAGGTCACATCCGAGGGAGACTCCTCCCTCCGGACCCTCCACCGAGGAAGTGGCCAGAGCAGTGGCCATCTGCATGGAGTTCCTTAAAGCTCAAGGGGCTCCAATCCAGATGCCTGATGATCACCAGCCGAGAAACCTGAAAAGGAGGATCGGTCAGGATGATGGTGGACAAGTTCCACCACATAGACAGCTCGGCCAGAGGTGGCGAGGGGACACCCGAAACTCCAGTAAGGAGAGGAGGAGGAACCCTCAACCCTCTGACCACTCTGAAGCTCAGAATTCCATGGGGCCCTCCAAGGACCCGGAATTCGCCCGCCGAAGCGTTCACGAACGCTTGGGTTCAAGGGAGGTGAGTGTGCATAGCCGCCTCACCTTCCCAGAGGATACCGGACCCCACCCAACCTTGTCTCAGCCGGGGACGAAAACCACTTCCACCTCTGAGAGAGGAGGGAGCGAGGTCCCTGAGGCCGGGTACAAGGGGAAGGCGGTCATGGTTCCATCGAACTCGCCCTTCCAGAAGTGGATTCTGGAAGAGCATGTGCCAACGGTCAAAATCCCGGCACATATTACTTACGATGGTACCTCAGATCCTAAGGATCACATTGCCTCTTACGAGGGGCACATGTATCTGAACCCGAGGTCTGAGGCTACCTGGTGTAAATACTTTCCTACGACCCTCAAAGGTGTTGCCCAATCCTGGATCACCAAAGGGCTCAAGGAAGGCTCCATAACCGGTTGGAACGACCTCTCCAACAAGTTCAAGAGCAAATTCTCTACGGCCAACCGCCGAGAGAAGACCACTGCAGAGCTAATGAGTCTGCAGCAGGCGGAGGACGAGAGCCTCCGCGACTATCTGACTCGCTTCAGCAACGAGTCATCCGGAATCACAAGCCTGGATCAAGGCCTGGCCGTGTTCGCGCTACGGAACGGCCTCCAAGCTGGAAAGTTCCTGGACTTCATGGTCATGCATCCCCCGCAGACCCTGGAGGAAGCCTTGGAAGCATCGGATAGGTTCATCCGAGCCGAGGAGTGGAACAGATCCAGGTCTCAGTCTCGTCCGAGAATTGAGAAGCCGAAAGGGCAGCAGCCCGAAGTCTCGGCGCAGAGGAAAGGGAAGGCTAAGGCCTCAGAACCGTCCTCTGCTGCCGAGCCGAAGAAGGAAAGACACTTTCCCTACACGGGAAGGTACGATTCATACACTCCACTCTCCCTTCCCCGTGCTAAGATTTTCAGCACGACGAAGGACGAGGGGAGATTCAAAAAACCTCGTCCGTTGCCTCCCTGGCATCAGACGAGGGGAAAGGACCAGTGGTGCGAGTTCCATGACTCACCCGGACATCGCACCGAGGACTGCGTCCAGCTGAAGGACCAGATTGAGGATCTGGTCCGCAAGGGGTACCTGAGCCAATACCTCGCGGACAGGCGCGAGGAGAAAAAAGCTGAAAAAAGATTCTCGGCAGGACCTCAACTTCGCTCGGAAGAAGGATAAGGGACCTCAGGGCAAGGAGTCCCTCGACATCCTAGTTATTTCCGGGGGAATCTCGCGAGGCACAGCCAAACGCCAACTGAGGGGTCTAACCCATCAGATTCATCAGGCTGAGCTTCGGCAGTCCCAGTCACCGGCGCCGAACATCCTGTTCACAGCCGAAGACTGTGAGGGGGTGGTATACCCCCACGATGACCCACTAGTAATCATTCTGGGCATCGCCAACCGCAACGTCTGGCGGACCCTCGTCGACGGCGGTAGCGGGGCGAACATCCTCTTCCGAGGAGCGTTCGACCAGCTGAGGATGGGAGCCGAGCACCTGGCCCCCGCACCCTACCCGGTGTCTGGATTCAACGGCTCTTCCTCGTATCCTGACGGGAAGATTACACTTCCTGTCACCATCGGCGAAGGCCGAGCAGCTAGGAATATCATGGCCGAATTTTTGGTCGTAGATGCTCCATCTGCATACAACGTGATCATGGGGAGACCCCTCATTCACGGCATTCAAGGAGTCGTCTCCACGTATCATCAAATCATGATATACGTTTCAGACGAGGGACGCTCCGAGAAAATAAAGGGCAGTCAAAAAGAAGCCCGCCGATGCAATCACCTCAAGCCATCCACGTCTCGCCGAGGCGACCGTGGCGATGGGGAGGAAAAGCACCGGGACCGAAACGCCAAAAAGCCGAGAGGCTCAGACGTTTCGGCTAATGAAGCCCCAGACAACGAGAAATCTGATGGGGGCCAAAAGGCTGACTCCGCCTCAGAGCCGAACGACTCTGATGGCCAGCCGCGGTCAGGAAAGTCTGCTAATATTGATAGCAGGCCGGAATTCGAGGAATCCAACTCTAAGAGCATGGAGACGGATGACCTGACCGAGTCAATAGAACTGACCGTAGGAGATCCGAACAGATGTGTTAGCATCGGGTCGTCACTGGAGCCAAACACCCGTGCGGCACTCGTCCAACTCCTACGGGCCAGTGGAGACGTGTTCGCCTTCTCAGCCGCAGAAATGCCCGGGATTGATCCGGACTTCGTCTCCCATAGGCTTAATGTCGACCCCTCCAGTCGACCCATTAAGCAGAAAAAGCGGAACTACTCCGCCGAAAAGAACCAGAACATCGCAGCTGAGGTCGATAAGCTCCTAGATGCTGGGTTCATTGAACCCTGTCAGTATCCGGAGTGGCTGGCCAATGTTGTAATGGTTCAGAAGGCAAATGGTAACTGGAGGATGTGCGTTGACTTCACGGACCTGAATAGGGCATGTCCCAAGGACTCCTATCCGCTGCC